GATCCCCTGGAGAAGGGGATAATCTCCAGCATTCTTGCCTGGGGAAGCCCCCTCACAGAGGAGCCTGGCCAGCTACAGTCCGTGGGGTCGCAAAGAGTGGGACACGACTGAGCGACTAAGCACACAGCCCAGCAGGGGTCACCCAGTGAGCTGGTAGCAAAGCTGGGGCTCAGACTGAAGGCTGCCTTTCCTCTCAGCTACCCTGTCTTCCACACCAGTCTTACCGGTATAGGATTGAAAACTGACAGCCCGTGGGCTAGTCCAGCTGCCGTGGTTTGGGTTTTGGCTTTATTTGGTTTTTGGTAGAGTGGGGTGGTGGTGGTTTGGTCACTGAGTTGTGTCCAACTCCGTGACCCCATGGACTGCAGCACACCAGGCTTCCCTGTCCTGCGCTCTCTCCTGCAGTTTGCTCAAGCCGTGCATTGAGTCGGTGATGCCGTCCAACCATCTCGTCCTCTCTCGCCTCCTTCTCCTTTGGCCTCCAGTGTTTTGGCATCAGAGTCTTTTCCAATGAGCCGGCTCTTCGCCTCAGGTGGCCACAGTATTGAAGCTTCAGCATCACACCTTCCAGTGAATATTCAGGGTTGATTTCCTTTAGGATTGACTGGTTTGATCTCCTTGCAGTCTTTGGTTTTATAACGTGGATGCCTTTCGCAGGACACGCCCCTTCCAGCTCATCACCACTGTTGCCAGCAGCCCCGGTGGTTTTAGACATTTGTGTAATCTGCCTGGTCCCCAGGGCATTGCGTTTGCAACCCTTTCCTGTCCATCCTGACCCTTAAAACTTACCCACAGAGGGGAAAATATTTGACCCTGTCTGGATTCCCTGGGGATCCTTACTTACTCAGGGAAGAGGATGAGAGGGGAAGGAGACGGACTGAGGATTCACCACCCCGGACTCAGAGCAGAGCCATGTTAGCTCTGCGCCCCCTGGGCAGAGCTGAGTTCAGCTCCTGATGAGTTTCAAGGGAGGGGATGGCCAGCTTGGGGCACGGGGGCAGGCAGGACTGCGATTTTGGAGGCTAGAATTGGGGGGACCCGCCTTGCTGGCTGATTGTGCTGTCAGGACGATGGAGAGGAGCTGGGCTGGGAGTGTCTCCTGCTTTCTCCCTGGCCGACTCTGAGGACTGGAAGGAGCCCGAGGCAGGAGGTGGGGAAGAAGGCAGGAGGAAGAGGCCGCCCCTGCTCCTGGTGGGCTGTTTCCTCGGGAGCTTCAGTTAGTAACTTTCAGGCAGAGCTGAGTTTGAAACCAGCTGGCAGTGGCAGGCTGTGTGCCCTGGGGTGAGTCTCTCTGCCTCTCTGTGCCTCAGTTTTCTCATCTGTGAAGTGGAAACAATTGTACTAGGTCTGTTTTGAAGACTGGGCGAGTTGGGGTCCAGCACAGTGTGTGGCAAAAAATTATGAGTCCCAACTGTGTGCGAGACTTTGATGGGGGTGGTGAACATTAAGTCAGTCTGTGATCCTACAAATAATGGGGGATTTCAAAACACGAGAGAAGTACTTTGAAAAGGAAGACCAGGGGTGAAGAGAGTTTGTAACTGGAGGATCTGCCCTGTCCTGGGTAGAGTGGTCAAGGAAGACTTCCTGGAAGAAGCATCTGAGGATTGGAGGATGAATGAGTGATTTTTTTTTGAGGGAGGTGCCCCAGGCAGAAGGAACAGTGCAGTGTCTAGAGAGAGCCAGTAAGCAGGGGATAGAGGTTACCAGAAATCTCCTCCAGCTTGGCGTAGGTAGAAGTTCAGAGAGGGCTTGTGGAGGGGGTAGAACTGTTAAGTGAACAGTTCAGTGGCATTCAAGACATTCTCATTGTGTAACCATCACCACCATCCACCTCCAGGACTTTCACATCTTGCAAAACTGAAACTTTTCTCATTAAATAACTCTCCATTTCCCCCTTCCTCCAGCCCCTGGCAGTCACCATTCAGCTTTCTGTTTCTGTAAGTTTGACTACTCCCAAGTGCCTCGTATATAAATAATAATGGAACTATACAATATTTGTATTTTTGTGACTGGCTTATTTCATTTAGGACTTCCCTGGTAGCTCAGATGGTAAAGAATCTACATGCGATGCAAGAGACCCAGGGATCAAACCTGGGGTCTCCAAGATCCCCTGGAGAAGGGAATGGCTACCCACTCCAGTATTTTTGCCTGGAGAATCCCATGGACAGAGGAGCCTGGCGGACTACAGTCCATGGAGTCACAAAGAGTCGGATGCGACTGAGCGTTAAACACTTTCTGTTTCACTTAGCATGTTGTCTTCAAGGTTCATCCATGTAGTAGCTTGGGTCAGAATTTTCTTCCCCCTTTTAAGGCTGAATAACATTCCATCATATGGATATGCCACAGTTTGCTTAGCCTATTCATCCACTGATGGGCACTTGGGTTGTTTCTAAACCTTTTGGCTGTTGTGAATCAGGCTACTATGAATATGGGTGTGCAAATGTCTCTTTGAGACCTGACTTTCAATTCTTTTTCATGTATACCCAGAAGTAGATTTGCTGGATCGTATGGTAATTCTATTTTTTTCCCCCCCAGTTTTTGTTAAGATACATTTGACCTGCAGTTCCATGTCAGTTTGAGATGTACAGCATAATGCTTTGACTTACTTATATTATGAAATGATGATGACAGTAAGTTTAGAGAACATCCATCATCTTCTACAGATACAAAAGAAAAGTGTTTTTCCTTGTGATGAGAACTCTTGGGATCTACTGCCTTAACATCTTTCATATATACCATCCAGCAGTGTTAACTATAGTCATCACTTTGTACAGTACATACCTAGAACTGGTTATTGTATTTTTAATTTGGGAAGGGGGGAACTGCCCTGCTGTTTTCCACCACATCTGTACCATTTTTACGTCCCCAGCAGGAGTTGTATAGGGGTTCCATTTCTCCCCAGCCTCTCTGACACTTGTCAGTGTGAATCTTTCTAATGAATATTCAGGGTTGATTTCCTTTAGAATTGACTGGCTTGATCTCTTTGCCATCCAAGGGACTCTCGAGTCTTCTCCAGCACCACAGTTCAAAAGCATCAATTCTTCAGCACTCAGCCTTCTTTATGGTCCAACTCTCACATCCATATGTGACTACTGGAAAAACCATAACTTCCACTATACAGGCCTGACCCAGGAATTGATGCGTCTCTTGCATCTCCTGATTGTCAGCAGGTCCTTTACCATTAGTGCCACCTGGGAAGCCCCGGGTAGAGCTTTGGGAAGGGCATTTTAGCAAAATCCCTCAGAGGTTTAAGAAATTTCTCCCTCTGCAACAGACACTATCTGCCATATCCTTTGGACCCTATTTTTTTTTTTCGGCTGTGCTGTATAGTTTATAGGATGTTAGTTTTCTGATTAGGGATTGAACCCAGGCTCTTGGCAGTGAAAGCGCAGAGTCCCAACCACTGGACCATCAGGCAGTTTCTGACCCTACCATTTTGGTGGGCTTCTGTTGACTTCAGGTCACCAGCATCTTTTTCCAGAACCACCTACAAGCATGGTAGGCCAGAAGTGCTGGGGACCTAGCACCTCCCTCCCTGGCTCTGCTCACCTGCTGACTGATAGGCATTGGTGTATAAATACCCCAGCTCCCTTGCTCCCAGCCCATGGCGGGAACCATCTCCACTGAGCCTTCGCAGTTGCTTCTCCCATCCCTGACTCACTTCCTTGTCTTGGTGCTTATGCTCCCCACACCTCCTGAATGTGCTGCTTGCTTAGAAATCCTTGTCTCTTGGGCGCTTCTGGAGGAACTCAGACTGTAAGACTGTCTGACTCAGCACTTTCACTTCTAGAAATCTCTCTGACCAAACATTCTCACATGTGCCCAGACGGGTCATGTGCAAGGAAGTTGACTGTTGGCACTAACGGAAAGACACACTCAATTGCTCATCATTAGGGAAATGTTCCCTCTATTACGAGTCATCCATGGTATGAAATCCTGAGACTATAGTGGGCCAGGAATGGGACAGTAATGGTCAAGGACAGGAAATTGAGAAGAACCTCAAATTGCCTGGATTCCAGCCCTTTCTCTACCACTGAGTGGGCCCTGAAATACTGTCTTTTAAGTCTCGTTATCTGTATCATGGGCAGAATAATCTTATCTTCTTTTGTAAGATCATTGTTTAGATTAACTGAGGTAACCTTTTAAGCTCAGCACTGTGCCTGGCATATAGAACTCACTCAGAATGTTTTTACTTTCTTCATTATGTCTGTCAATATGTTAATAAATGGCATGTCTGTGAAGTGGTAAAAGTCAAGTTGCAGAAACAAGAACTTTAGGACAGACCCATTTCTATAAAACAAAACAAACTCTGTACTAAGATGTATCTACAAATGTCATTAAACTGAGAAATGTCTGTTTCAAGCTGATCATGGCAGGAGAGAGGTGGGATTATGGAGGGCAGGGATGAGGAAGGAGAATTTAGAAATCATTACATATTGTTTCTCTCTCTCTCTCTCTTTTTTTTTTTGGCCATGCTCCATGACTTGCAGGATCTGAGTTCCCCAGCCAGAGATTGAGCCCAGGCCCTGGCAGTGAAAGCTCTGAGTCCGAACCACTAGACCACCAGGAAATTTCCTGTTTTGTTTTAAATATGTGTATTCATGACTTGCTTCCCAGGTGGCTCAGTGGTAAAGAATCCGCCTGCCAATGCAGGAGACATGGGTTCGATCCCTGGGTTGGGAAGATCCCTTGGAAGAGGAAATGGCAACCCACTCCAGTGATCTTGCTTGGAAAATCACATGGGGAGAAGAGCCTGGCAGGCCACAGTCCTTGGGGTTGCAAAGAGTCGGACACAACTTAGTGACTGAACAACAAATTCATGACTTACTTGTGTTCATTTCAAGTACAGGTTTATTTTTAAACATGAAAGCGTGCAGCTGGAGCCTGGGAGTTTTAGGGACCAGGCTGAAGGAGGTTGTCTTTACTGCTTAGGTGGGGCTGGTCCAGTGGGTCACGGGGCGGTGGTTTCTGATGTCCCCACCCCACCTCCCTTTCCGCAGTGTCGAGAAGTGTGTGGCCGGAACGCCTCTGACCGCTGCGCCTTCGTCCGCACCAACCCCGACTGTCGCAGTGATGGGGGCTACTTAGACTACCTCGAGGGCATCTTCTGCCACTTCCCAGCCCGCCTCCTCCCTCTGGCCATCACCCTCTACGTGAGGCCCTGCCCCGGGGGGGTGTGCTGGTGAGAGGGGCCCGTGGCCCCAGCAGGACTTAATGCTCTTAACCCCCTCTCTGGCTTCCCCCCCTACCCCCGCCCAGGCTTTCTGGCTGCTTTATCTGTTTCTGATTCTGGGAGTCACCGCGGCGAAGTTGTGAGTTTGGCCCTGGCCTGATGTCCAGCTCGTAGACGGGAGAGCGGAGGTCCCGGGGATGGGGGAGGTTGACTTGGGAAGGACCCCGGGCAGGAGCCACTCGCCATGGAAACACTCACCTCTGGCCTTTCCTCCTAGCTTCTGCCCTAACTTGTCGGCCATTTCCACCACACTGAAGCTTTCGCACAACGTGGCAGTATCCTTTTGGTCCAGTTCTGGTACCCTGGAGGGAGGGCTGGAGGGTGTGAGGGGCTGGGAGACGGGCCTGGGCCAGCCGGAGCACCTGCCCTGAGCCCCTTGACATGTCCCCCCATGGCGTCACCTTCCTGGCGTTTGGGAACGGGGCCCCGGATATCTTCAGCGCCTTGGTGGCCTTCTCGGACCCGCGCACAGCCGGCCTGGCCTTTGGGGCCCTGTTTGGTACGAGCGAGCGGCCCCAGCTGCGGGTGAGGGGCTGGGAGGGCAGCCGGAGGTGGGCGTGGGGGGACCGAGCCTGGCCTCCTCTCCCGCAGGCGCGGGCGTGCTGGTCACCACCGTGGTGGCCGGCGGGATCGCCATCCTGCGTCCCTTCACGGCGGCCTCCAGGCCCTTCCTCAGAGACATCGTCTTCTACATGGCGGCTGTGCTCCTGATCTTCACCGCGCTCTACCGCGGCAGGGTCACGCTGGCGTGGGCCCTGGGTAAGTGGCTGCGGGACCGGGGCAGGGTCATCGCCAGGGCTGATGGCTGGGAGGCGTGGGGCGGGGGTGATGGGAGCGGCTGGTCTGCAGGGCACAGAGTCACTTTTGGGTCTGAGTGATGGGAGCGCTGCTTGGAACCATGGTGGCCTGGGCATGAAAGTGGTTCCGATCACCGAAGAGGGCAGGGCCAAGTCCGGGCGATGTTCTGGGTTTTCACAATTTCCAGCGTTCACGAGCAGTACAGCCGCAATGCTGACTGTGACCCTCAGGGTCCCGGCGGCATCTCACTCCATCCAGATGGTTCCAAAGACATGGATGGAGGGGCGGCTTACAGAGGGTTGAGAAAAACCAGGGAGGGGCGCTGCGATGCAGAGACACCAGGGGCCAGCAGCAGTGGGAGCCCCTGAAAGGGGCAGAGGGTTCCAGGAGTGTGCTGGAGGGTTCCAGGCCCAGACCGGGGGTCACCCAGCCTGAGTGAGAGTTGCGGAAGGTCACGGGTCCTGCCAGAGACAGGGCCCACAGCAGGGAGGGGGTGCCCCAGACCCTCCCCTGCCGCCTTCTGATTCGCTCTTGGGGCTCCGTGGGCAGGCCCAGGGCAGCCAGAGATTGGGGGATACATGCTGCAGGGGCTCGGCCTCCCAGGGCACAGACAGAACACTAGCCCTTCGCACTTGAACTGTGTCCTGGAGGCCACTGTCTGTGCCAGGCGTCACACCCACTGTTGATTGATGGATTGGTCGGGCGGGGGGAAGGCAGGGGCGGGGTTGGTAGGGAGAAAATATGGGCCAAAGAGGGGAAGGAGGGGCACTCCTGGAAATGGCCCTTTGCTGGCTGGGCTGGGCTGGGAACACAGACAGCCACTGCCGCCAGGTGCCAGCGACAGAACTGGGTGCCCTTGGTCTGTGGGCCCTGCGACCAGGACGCCGCTTGGTGACGGCGTGCCCTTGTCTGCAGGCTACCTGGGCTTCTACATGTTCTATGTGGTCACCGTGGTTCTCTGCACCTGGATCTACCAGTGGCAGCGGAGGAGATCCTTGGTCTGCTCCATGCCAGGCACTCCAGGTAAGGTCTGAATGGACCCCCGCGGGAGGACCCCTGGGTCTGGCGCTCTCTGTGCCCAGAAGCTGCCGCCTCTGTCTCCTGAGGCCTGTGCCAGCCATCTCCTCTTCCTGCTTTTTATACTTGTTCTACCAACGTCCCCCCTCCATGGTTTCGCTTGTGTTGCTAAAGCCTCGTCATCACCTGCTTGTCCAAGTTCATTAGTTCTTCGTGCTTGTGCCTGTTGCTGGGGCAGATCTTCCTAAGAGCTGTCACCTCCCGCGTCCCAGACTGTGCCCCCTGCCAGGTGCTTCCACATCCACAAATACATGCACACACACATCCAGAAATATGCAACACACACATTCACAAATGCATGAACAGCATGAACGTACATAACACACACACAACACATACAAATACACATTCACAAATACATACACATATACAACCCACAGGCTTCCCAGGTGGCGCAGTGGTGAAGAATCCACGTGCCAATTCAGGAGACGCCAGAGACGTGAGTTTGATCCCTGGGTCAGGAAGATCCCCTGGAGAAGGAAATGGCTACCCACTGCAGTATTCTTGCCTGGGAAGTCCCATGGACAGACAAGCCTGCTGGGCTACCGTCCATGGGGTTGCAAAGGGTCGGACACGACTGAGCGCACGCACGCACGCACGCACGCACACACACACACAGTTACATGTCTCAAGCTGAATGTGGCTTCTGCCTTAGGAAAAGGCATGGTTCCCCCATTTACCCCAGTCCCTAGTGCTCTCTGTCCTCAACCCCAACGTGGACAGACCTGATTATGTTGGGAAACCAGAATTCTCCCCCAAGCCTCTGTACTTGTTCCCATGATGTGCTTGGCCCTCTTTGGCGTGTGAGCCTGAGAACCTTGCTCTTGACCTGTTGCCATTTGTGCTGGGCCTCAGCTTTCTTCTCCAAACTCATTCGTAGCCCAGCCTCCACTCCCCAGCTGTGCAGGGCCAGCCCCACCTCCCTGAACATGCCATGCTCCCCCTGGCTGTCTCCAGGCTTTGCGTGTGCTGTCCCTTTTCCCTGGTGTGTCCTTCTTCTGAAAAGACTTAGGGACTCAGCCTGGAGGGAGCTCTGCAGAGACCCCCAGGTGTCTCTTCTGGGCTCGCACAGCTTTCAGACTCACCCCAGCACAGCCTTTATCTCTTCATTCTGTTATTAATTTGCTTATGTTTCTGTCTATTAGACTGTGAGCTTCCAGAGGGCCGGACTGTATCATTTCCTGAGGTCCTGGCACAGGTGTTGGTAACTCCCCCTACAGGAAGTCTACCGTGCTTTTTGCTCTCTTCTCTGTCCGCTGGGCCTTCAGAGTTCAGCACATAGTACCATGTGCCCTCTTTTAAACCCATCCTAGCCTGCTGGGCTGGAACAGAAGGGGAAAATGAGGCCTGGAGAGTCACAAAGAGGCAGAACCAGGGCTAGCACTCTTCACTTGAGAACAGCCGTTTTTCTTTTGGGAAGCCTTTCTTTGCAGGGCTCGGTCCTCTGATCCCGAGGACTCTTGAGAAAAGTTTCAGACTGGAAAAGAAAAATATGTTGGGTTCCAAGTTCTGAAAGGTGCAACGTGGATATCAGTAAATGTTTGAATTTTGTCTTCTGACGGCTGTATTAAATTTGACCTTATTGCTGCATCACCACATTTGAAAATGTTTTGTGAGTTAGACTTACTGAGCCTGTAAGAATTCCTGAGCATACAGGGTGATTGCTGAGAAGTTGATGATACAGAGGGGGCCTGGGCACTTGCACCCTGAATACCAAGCGGTCCCAGAGGTGCCCTACCCTAGAATAGTGGTGGGAGGGCCTGGACGCCCCACCTGGCTCATGGGAAACTCCGCTCTCTCCTACAGAGATGCTGTCAGATTCCGAGGAGGAACGGGTGTCTTCTAACACCAACAGCTATGACTATGGTGAGTCCAGGGACTCTGTGCCCAGCTGGGGTGGGGGTGCCAGCTGGACTGGGCTGGAGAGTTGGGTGATGGGACCATCCAGCAACCCCGCACCCCCCAAGCCCAGGAAGGAGGCAGTGAACACCTCTCACTGCAGGCTGAGATGGGTTTGCCTTCCCTGCCCCTTACCAGGCTCTGGGCCTTTTCCCTCTTCCCAGGGGTTGGGGACACTGGTAGGAGGGAAGGGAGAGGGTTTCCCAGAGGCCGAGGCAGCCACGGACCCCTGCCCCTCCCCGCTTGCGCCCCCAGGTGAGGAGTACCGGCCGCTGTTCCTGTACCCGGAGACCACGGCCCAGATCCTGGTGCGGGCCCTAAACCCCCTGGATTACAGGAAGTGGAGGACCAAGCCTGTGTACTGGAGGGTCCTCAAGGTGTTCAAGGTCAGGGGGGACCCTGGAGCCAGGCCTCTGACTTGGTGACATCACAGGACAGTGGCCCCTCCGCCTCCTCCTGAGCAGTGAGGTTGGGGAGTGGGGTGGGGGGCTCTGCTGAGGACTTGATGGGGAAATACATGAGCTGGGACTCCAGGGGGAACGTGAGTCAGGGAGCATCGCTCAGACTCCTCCCCGCAAAGAAGGAAGGGGAGCATCTTCCCAAGGGCAGAGAGAGAGGAGGTTAGGGACCCCTCCTGACCCACTGAGAGCCGGGAACTGGGGAAGGCGAGAGTGTGGGTCACAGTCTAAATGAGGTCAGAATAGCACTTTTCTGACCGCTCACTGCTTCCCTGGGCTACTTGGTCTCCTGAGGTCTGGATGTGAGCAGGCCGGTTTCCATGAGGCAGGACTGCAGTGCTTTCCACCACCCAGACCCAAAAAGTCAGAGGTCTCACCTCATAGCCCTCCAGTGTGGATACCTTTCAGGCCTCCTCAGACCCAGGGGGCAGATAATGAACAACTAATATTTATACCCCATGACAGCTCTGACTGTATCATGATCTCAGGCCAGTCACTTCACCACTCTGAGCTTCAGCTTCCTCCACTGCAAAATGGGGATAATGATAGAGCCTTTCTTCTGGAATCCTTGTATCAGTACGTTAGTGCTGCAGCAGTGCAGCCCCCAACATCTCACTGACATATGATGACAAGATTTATTCTCATCCAGTCTTCTGAGATGACTCTGGCTGGTGGTTCAGGTCTGCCCCATATCTCCTTCTGGGGCCTGTGGGAGTATGCCATTTTCTTCGCAGAAGGGACCAAGGCAGACTCCCCAAGCCCAATTTATGTGTCTGTTCACATCACATTCACCAACAGCCCATTGGCCAAAGCAAGCGGCATGGCCAAGTTCAACATCAGTGGGACAGGGAAATGTATTCTGCAGACTCGTCATTCGACAAAAGTGTGGGGGTGGTCAGTTCTGTTACAGATAGAGGGGGATTGAAGAGTTGGGGACCGTATCCAGCCTGCCACAGTGGTTGTGACAGTTTGATGAACTAATCTGTGTGAAGGACTGGCTGTGGTGTTTAGCATATGGTAAGCACTCCACAGGTGTTGTTAGGAGTTTAGCTGTTGGCTAAAAACACAAGTGAAGTGAGAAATCAGGTATCAAGTCCATCAGAGCTGGCCCTGTATCCTGGTTTCATATACCTTCCTGTGTGGCTTTGGAGAAGTTTCTTAGCCTCTCTGAGCCTCAGTTTCTTAATCCAAAAGGTAGGAAAATTGAGGGTTCCTGCTCAGAGTGCTGTCAGTGTTGGCACGGGGTCGGTGGCAGTGTGTTACAGCCGCAGTCAGAAGTGCTTGGGGGTCTGCGCCCGGTGGGTGCTTCAGCAGTAACGCCTTGTCCTTTTGTTGATTGGTTGGTTGGTCGGGTGCTGTCCTGGGTCTTCACTGCCACGCTTGCTTTTCTCTAGTTGTGGCGAGCAGGGGCTACTCTCCGGTCACAGTGTGTGGGCTTCTCATGCAGTGAGAAGCGTGGAGCTTCTTGTTGCGGAGCTCGGACTTCAGGGTGCACAGGCTTGGTTGCCCCATGGCATGTAGGGTCTTCTCGGACCCAGGACCGAACCCGCGTCCCCTGCATTGGCAGGTGGATTCTTAGCCACCGGGGATGTGCAGCCTGGTTCTTGAGTGACTGAGCTCGGGGCGTGGCGGCCAAGCACAGGCCTCCCTGCCTTCACCCTCCTGCCTTCCTGCACCTGACAGCTGCCCGTGGAGTTCCTGCTGCTCCTCACCGTCCCCGTCATGGACCCCGACAAGGAGGACAGGAACTGGAAGCGGCCCCTCAACTGCCTGCACCTGGTCATCAGCCCCCTGTTCCTGACCCTGACCCTGCAGTCGGGGGCCTGTGAGTGTCCCTGCCCCCGGGCTGGCCCAGCCCCTCCTCCCCGCATTCCTGACGTTTTCTTCTCAGACACCCCAGGGGACCCTGGACCAGCCGGCTGTCCTGGACATACAGCAGACGCTTAATATGTGCTTGTGCCACGAGCCTCCGGTGGTCCATCGGTCACACTGGCTCCAGAGAGGAGCGACGCGCTGGTGGCCCGTGGACCAAATCCCGCCCTCTGGTGCATTTGCTTGCATTACCAAGTTCACAGAGTTGATGTCAAAATCCAGGGCTGGATTTCTCAAGATAATCTGAGCCACATTCCTAACAGCAGAACTGGTGGAAGCTGAGTCTTCTCAGCACCCCTGCCCCTGCCCCGTCTCGTGCTGGCGCCCCCTGACCAGCTCCTCACAAACCCTTCCACTGCCTATTGAGTGACCTGGGTGATCCCCGCTGGCCTTGAGCCTTCCCCGTCTGTCCCAGGCTTTCCTTTTCTGACCCGTTTTGCTCGAGCACTGCCCGGTCTTGTCAGGCGTCTTCTGAGTCCTCCTGCTCAGGTTCTTCCTGTTGTCCGACTTGAGTATCTCATGCCGCCCAGTCCACTCTCCGTCCCCTGGGCTCCTGCCCCTCAACCTAGGGGCATCTCCTGGAGGTGGCGGTAGGGTTTTGGTAGCAAATACAGGGCTGAGTGTGGCTTTTTTTTTTTTCCTGCTAATGAGCATCAGGATGAAAAGGCTGCCAAACTTCTGTTTCTCCTCCAATTTATGGGAAGACATGGTCGCGGAGGAAGGAGTCGGTCAGTGTGACCCCAGAGATGGGAAGGGCGCCCCCTAGTGGTGCCAGTGGGCTGGTTCATGACAGCCCTGCCTCTCCAGTCCCCCAGGGACTTGGTTCATTCATTCTTGTGGCTTCTCAAGAGAAGGGATCCCAAGCGTTCAACATTCAAGAACGTCTTGATTTTTCTTCCATTCTAAACTGTTGTATTTGATATTTTTCTTTAATCAGTTCTTTTTTTTTTAACTTCAATGTACTGGAAAGGAATGTCTTTCACCGGCATCAATAGGAAACCAGCCTTGTTTCCAGTACACTTAAGATATTTAAATCTGTTACAGTGAGAGTACTGAAGAGGGAATCCATTTCCTGAGATGTGACTCTATGATATTTAGTGTCTTGTCCACCTGCCCCAACACCGTCTAGTGGTAGCAGGTCCATGCGGGGGAAAGACTGGTTCAGGCTAAAGCATTTGTGACTGCTTCTAGGTTGACCCCTGCATAGAGAGAAGCCCCAGACTTGGCTCCCTGCCCAAGGTCTGGGGGTTCTCTCCATCTAGGGGTCAGCCCAGCAGGGGGTCACCTGCCCAAGGAGGTGACATGTCTGCCAGTCAAAATGAAAAAACAGAATCTCCAGCCTGAAACTAAGATAGGAATGGCTAAGACCACTCACTCTTACTGTCTTTTCCCATGCCCAAGGCAGACATCACTAATCAACCATGATGCTTTTGTCCACCAGAGCTTCAAGGGAGCACCCTCCAGCCAGGCATTATAATCTCACCTCCCAATCTCACTGTCAACTTCCATCTATCTTCTCAAGGCCACCCTCAGAGCCCTCTTTCTTTTTTTTTCCCACACACACCACACAGCATGCAGGATCTTAGTTCCCCAATCAGGGATCAAACCCATGCCCCTAGCAGTGGAAGCACAGAGTCTCACCACTGGACCACCAGGGAAGTCCCCAGAGCCATCTTTCTAAAGTGCCACTTGTCACATGTTGTGGTCACTCCCCCACTCTAAGACCTCCATGGCTCCCCAGTGCCTCTTGGAAAAAGGCCATGTCCCCCAGCCATCTTTCGAGATCTCTGAGATCCCGAGCCAGCTACCTTCCCCAGCTCTTTATCTACTTTCAGTGACACAAATCTGCTCAACTTCTTCCCTTCCATCTCTTCCCTCTGCCCATGGAACCGTTGTGCCCCACTCTATTTACAACTCAGCTCACATCCTCAGCCTCCAAGAAGGCCCTCTTAACCACCCCATGCCCCTGTCTCCTCCTGAAATTCCTCCAGCACAGGACTGAGAAATACAGAGAAAGGACCTCTCACCCAGGTGTCAAGTTCCAAAGCCAGCTCTGCAAGTGAAAGTCACATCCATCAAAATTGCCCCCCAAAAATCTCCTGCCATGTATTATGTGCACGATTTTATATATTCATCCCCTTATGTTCTCCTTAGTGCACTGATGTTATGAGCCCGTGAACTGGACTAAAGAAAGAAAAAAAGTCTTGTTACATGTGTCTGGGCAATTGAATCATCCATTGCCTTTAAGACGTGATGAAAGGATGGTATATGGAACTTTCTAGAGTATTCTACCTGCCTACAGGGTTTCCTCCCTTAGGTGTTTTAATATGAAACCTCTAAAACCTTTGTAACTTTGTAGTGGATTGGTTCATAGAGCAGACTTCTCAAGAGAGCCAGAATTAGTAAGGTTGAGTTCAACTGTACAGGTCATATCATGGAGCCATGCCTATCCATTGGTAATGCCTGGCTTGAGGGTGCTCCCTTGAAGCTCAGGTGGACCAAAGCATCATGGTTGATTAGTGATGTCTGCCATGGACATGGGAAAGGATAGTAGGAGTGAGTGGTCTTAGCCATTCCTATCTTAGTTCCAAGCTGGAGAGTCTGTTTTTCATGTCTGTCTTTCCAGTGTGAGTAGCTCAAGGGCAGGCACTATGTCTTCAATTTCTCTGTCTCTCTGAAGTGCCTAGGACAGGGCTGGGCACACAGGAGGTCTCTACCTTATGTCCAAACAGTTATTTGAGTTTTATCTGTGGGTTTTACCCCCTTCACACTCTCTCCATCATGCCAAGGGGGCTTCCAGGAGGAGGTGCCAAGTTGAAGCCGTGGAGAGTACCAGCTCCCTTTCTCATCCCTCTGCAGATGGAGTCTATGAGATAGGTGGCCTCTTTCCCGTCTGGGCTGTGGTGGTGATTGCGGGCACGGCCTTGGCTGCAGTGACCTTTTTTGCCACGTCCAACAGCGAGACCCCCAGGTTTCACTGGGTAAGAAACCTCGGCTCTCCAAACTGGGAGGGGGGATGCCCAGGCAGATATCCTGGGACTGTTAGGCCACTGATCACTTTCCATGATAACAGGTCTTTAAGGCCACTTTTAAGAGATTTTATGCCTGTGCAAGTTCTTTTTTTTTTTTTTTTTGGTAACAACTTCATTTTATTGAGTTGCAATTCACACACACATACAAGTCACCCATCTGAGGTGTACAATTTAATTGTGTTTATTATATTCATAGGACTTCCCTGATGGCTCAGATGGTAAAGAGTCTGCCTGCAATGCAGGAGACCTGGGTTCAATCTCTGGATCAGGAAGATCCCCTGGAGAAGGAAATGGCAACTCCATTATATTCATAGAGTTGTACAACCATCACCACAATTTGGGATTCATCACCCCAAAAAAGAAGCCCTGTACCCGTTAACAGCTACTCTCTGTCCTCCCCCGGCCAGCACAGTCTGCTTTTAGTCCTTCCAGATTTTTCTGTTCTGCATATTTCACATACATGGAATCACACAATATGCAGTTTTTGTTGACTGTCCTCTTTCACTTAGCAAAATGTTTTTCAAGTGTATCCATGCTGTAGCATGTGTCAGGACCTCATTCCTTTTCATGGCTGAATACTATTCCATTGTACAGGCATAGCATATTTTGTTTATCCATTCATCCATGAATGAACCCTGGGGTTTTTTTTTCCCCCACTTTTTAGATATTATGAATAATGCTGCCGTGACCATTGGTTTAGGACTTTTTGTGTAGAAATGATTCATTTCTCTTCGGTGTCTTCCTTTCTCTTCCTAGGAGTGAAACTGGTGGGTCAAATGTGAACTGTATGTTCATTTTTTTGAAGATCTACCAGACTTTTCCACCACTGTAACTAGAAAGCACCTGAGTTCCTAATGATCACATCAGTGGTGGAATTGTTTGGTCTTTGGGAGTGTTCCCACCTGCACCATTCTCTCCATTCTGCAGGACGCTAAATAATTTTTTAGGCAGTTTGTCCAGAGAATTTTTTCCTAAAGTTTACTTAAATTTTTTAAACTAATTATTGCTTTTAAAAATTCTAGTCTTTATTTTCAGAAACTCTGAATGAATATACCAACCCAAAGGAATTTGAATTTTCAGCAAATTGATTATTTAGAGAAATGTTGCTGTTTTTTAGTCACTCAGTCATGTCCAACTCTTGGCAACCCCATGGACAGTAGTAGCCCACCAGGCTCCTCTGTCCATGGGTTTCTCCAGGCAAGAACTGGAGTGGGTTGCCATTTCCTTCTCCAGGGGAGCTTCCCACCATCCCAGGGATTGAGCCCGGGTCTCCTGTGTCGGCAGGCAGATTCTTTACCACTGAGCCACCAGGGAAACCCAGAGAAATGTTAGCCAGTGTTTCTTACTCGTCTTTGAAGTATTCACACATGCTCCTAGATGGATGCACCTTGAAAACATGATGCTGAGTGAAACAGGCCAGTCACAAGGGCCCACATACTGTATGAAGCCATTTTTATGATGTGTCTAGAATAAACCAATCCAGAGAGACAGAAAGCAGGGTGGTTTCCAGGGGCTGGGAGGAAGGTTGGGTGGGCTGGGGAGCACCTGCTCATGAGTATGGAGTTTCTTTTTGTGGTGATGGGGTGGCATTTGGTCCATAGACTAGAAGCCTGATGAGAGCTGTGATGTACCCCTTTTTGACAAAATGGTAATGCTGAGCTAGCATTTTATTGAGCACTTACTGTATGCCAGGCTCTAACTGCTTTGTGTCAACCAACTCATGCTCATGACTACCTCACGAGTAGGTACTATGAGCGTCCCATTTTATAGCTGAGGAACTGAGGCTATGTTCCTGTTTCTTCCCCCAGCTCTTTGCTTTCCTGGGCTTCCTGACCAGTGCCCTGTGGATCAACGCAGCTGCCACAGAGGTGGTGAACATCCTCCGGTCCCTGGGCGTGGTCTTCCGGCTGAGCAACACCGTCCTGGGGCTCACGCTGCTGGCCTGGGGGAACAGCATTGGAGGTGACTCGGGGCCGGGTGGGCTTCTGGAATGAGCACAGCTACCTCACTGCTCTTAACCGCCCTCCCACCCCCCCCACCCCCCAGCCAGAATGACATGTGGGCAGGGCTTCCAGGGCATCCACCCTCAGCAGCGCTCAATGCCTACTGTCTTTGGTGTGACCATCACTGGGCTTCGAGTGGGATGGTTTGGACTGTACCTGAGACTCTGTAGAAGCTCCAGTCTCTTCTCCACTCACTGATGCATAGATACTTGATGGCTCCCCAGAGTTCAGGCGGGACATGGAGCTCATTGCAGTCAACCAGCAGAGTATATCCATAGGTGTGGCATGGGTAGGCATTCATGCATACATTGAGTTAGCCAAAGAATTCATTTGGAGTTTTCCACTCAACAGTATAGAAGAAGCAGAATGAACTTTTTGGTCAATCCAATACATATATCCTTCTTTAGTTAGAGCTGCCAAGTACGGTTAGTCAGGTTGTACACTGCCCAAGGGCATGCTGACAAGGGGTCAAGGGCCCCAAAATTAGCTCTCCTTCCACTCACCTTTTTGGGCCCCTTTTCCTAATTTGCACAGAGGTACTGTGTATACTGGGGCTTCCCAGGTGGTACTTGTGGTAAAGAACACATCTGCCAATGCAGGAGACACAAGAGGTACAGGTTTGATCCCTGAGTCGGGAAGATGCCCTGGAGGAGGAAATGGCAACCCACTCCATTCTTGCCTGGAGAATTCCATGGACAGAGGAGCCTGGCAGGCTACATACAGTCCATGGGGTTGCAGTGTCGGACATGACTGAAGTGATGTAGCATAGACGCACTGTGTGAGCAGGGGACAGGACATGGGTGAAAGACTGGTGCTGGCTTGTCACACCCACAAGGTTGCCCCTGGTGGGAAAGAAGCAGGTGAAAAGAATTAAGGAGGGAATTGTGTCTTATGGGACAATGTGGCCTCCCCCAGCACCCGGACAAGCTAGTGCCAGAGTCAGGCAGACATTCATCAGTGTTTGTTGACTGAATGACTGTGGGTAAGAATGAAGGCACTAGTGACCAACAAGGGCCAGGGAAGTCCCGCACCGCTCAAGGCCTTCTCTTGTGTCCACACAGATGTCTTCTCAGATTTCACGCTGGCCCGCCAGGGCTACCCGAGGATGGCATTCTCAGCCTGCTTCGGTGGCATCATCTTCAGTATCCTTTCTGCGGTTGCCCTTCCCTCGGTGCTGGGAGCCAAGGGTGGGCTCTATTCCTCCCCCTTGGGATGGGCTTTCACTGGAATGCCTGGGGCAGGTGACTCAGCTGCTTGAGCCTCAGCTTTTTCATCTGTAAAATGGGGATATTGAGAGGACTGATCTCATAGGTTGTTGTAAAGATCGAATGAAGTGACAGAAGTGCTTGGTAAACAGCAGTGACAGCAGATACTCATCTTGTTAGGGCAGAGGTATTATCAGTAGGTGCCCACATACTAAGCTTGTGGAAGATCTCTCCCTCTTATAGATGTCATGGTCTGTAGATGTCAGGGTTGGCAGTTTTTTTCTTTTTTTCCCCTAATTATTTATTTTTGACTGTGCTGGGTCTTTTTTGCTGCACAGACTTTCTCTAGTTGCAGCAAGTGAGAGCTACTCTCTAGTTGCAGTGCACGGGCTTCTTATTGCAGTGGCTTCTCGTGTTGCAGAACATGGGCTCTAGGGTGCGTGGGCTTCAGTAGTTGCAGCACGCAGGCTTGGTAGCAGTGGCACGCTGGCTTAGTTGCCCTGCAGCATGTGGAATCTTCCTGGACCAGAGATCGAACCCACGTCCTCTGTATTAGCAAGCAGACTCTAAACCATTGAACCACCAGGGAATTCCAGCAAACTTTTTCTTAAAGGGCCGGAGAGTACATATTTTAGATTTTGTGGGCCATAGGACTCTCTTGCCACGCCTCGACTCTTCTCCTAAAGTGTAAAAACAGTCATGGGCAATACATGAACGAATGGGCCTGACTGTCCCAATAAAACTTTATTAATAAAAGCAGACAGTGGGCTGGATTGTCCTGTAGGCTTTCATTTGCCTGGTCTATATAGAAAAGAGAGGGTCAGGCAGCCTGGGGCTATGAAAAAGGCAGGGCTTGGAGTCTGGGCAGTCTTGGATCCCAGTTCCAGCACTGCCATGTGCCAGCTATGTGACCTGTGTGCAGATGCCTCCTGCCATTTGTCACGGCCCATTGCCCACCGTGCCCTGCTCCTGGCTGTCGGGCTGTGGCCTGTCCTGAGCTCTCAGGTTGGGCTGGGAAGGATTGAGCCTTGGCTGGAGCAGTGCCCCATGCCATGCTCCACCACCAGTCCTCCCAGTCACTTCACATTACCTCTGTTTCTCCATCTCACCAGGCACCAAATGTTTGTCACTTCCTGTGATCCTTACAGAGTGAGGCAAAATGTACACTGGACAATCTCTTAGAGGTGCTAAAACTGGATAAGGCCTCTCAGATAGGGCTTTTGGGGGAAGGGAAGGGGGTGCAGTCACAGATCAGAAAGAAAGTCAATGGGCTGTGTGTCGGGGTTATGGGGTGTTATGTTCCATCAGACTTCCTGAACTGGACTACAGATATGCTGGTGGGAGTGGGGCTGGGCTGCCTGCTCCACATCTCCAGGGGCCACATGGAGGTGAAGGTGGGTACCAGATGACTCAACAAGGGGCCTCTTCATAAGGGTCTCCTCCTCCCCTCCCTGCTCCAGAGCAGAGACCATTCACATCTCAGTAGGTTACACTTACTGGGGAGAGGACTTGTCTAGATGTGTGACGTCTGACTTGTAGCATATCTTTAAAATATTTTGCATATAGGGTTAAAAGTTTTCCTTGCAAAGTCATGGAGTAATTATTAATAAGATGTGGCTTTGAGGGAAAGGGGCAGGAAGGCTCTCGACTGGTGTCTTGGTCTCATCACTGAAGTGTCTTGCTATAGGACTTTGACTGAAGTAGAACTCTGAGGGTCTCTAAGCCTCAGCTTCCTCACCTGTGAAATGGGTTGATCCCACCCCCCAACTTCCTGGATAAGCACACACAAGATAAGGGCCAGGCTGAACACCTTATCCCACCACTGTCGGGAGAGGACAGGTCAGGATGAGAGAGAGCTGGCGACAGCCCCAGAAGGGAGGAACCTCCACAGATTTGAAATGCACTGAGCAGAAGAGGCTGTGTGGATTCAAGGGGCTCTGCAAATTCCCTGGGGGCATTGAGACCTCTTGACCCCGACATTCCAAGGGGTGGTGGGCTGGAAATCTGCATTTTAAAATACACTCCCTGGAGACATATGAACGTTAGGACCCTTGAGGGACAGGTCCCCAGCAAGGTTGAAAACACTACTTTGTGCAGGTAACCCAGTTGTGTGGGTAACTTGGATGGGCCTCCAATGGCCAGATCATCCAGCTTTTTTTGAGAATTGGGATTCCTAGGTGAGCTCTTCTCTTTGGAAATATTGCACAGGTCAGACAGCACCCCGTACAAAGCAGATGTGTCCCAGATTTGGACACATATACATTGCCAGGGACTCGAATTCTGAGGCCAAACCAGAAAAGGGTGAAGATGGGATGGGGCATGTGGCCCAGGGGACGGTTTTAAGGCCAATTGCGTGGAAGCACTTGGAATGTGCAGCTGAATGATGGAGTCATTCATGGGAACAATGTCGCCCACCTCTTTCTCCAGGAGGCCACTAGTTCTTGAATACACGCGTGGCTGACTTGTAATGAACTGGCTGTGGGCCGGCCTTTCACAGTGGCCACGCCCATAAGCCAAATAGCTTCTGCTTGAAAAGTTGCCTTTCTAAGGGGTAAACACCCTCTCTCTGCAGATTTTGTTTATACTTCTCAGGGGTTTAATAGGTTCCTTTCATTCCTGACAGCTCCAGATAATGAGACTTCAGGGTTGGCCCCCCTGGGGGCCCTGTTTCTTTCCTCTGGCTCCTTGCAGAGTATGTGTCTGCATTTCCTCTGCCTTTGTGCTGAGTTTAGAAAACGCTCCTGCAGTTAATTGCGTAAGACACAGGGCATCATGAGAGGTCATCACAGAAGGAAGTCCGTGCTGTACTGTTGGCTGAAAAACAGGTTGCTCTTAAACACGTACCTACTGTCTAGTCCCGTGTCTGGTTACGGAATACATGGGACTTCCGGTGCACATGTGTACCCACACATCTGTGTGGACATACGTTGCTGTATGAGGACGCAGGGGAGGGTAAGAGCTTGGACTTCTGATTTGGGCTCTGTCACGTACTATGGTTGACCCTTGAACGATGCGGGAATTAGGGGTGCTGACCGCCCCACATGTCACAAATCTGCATAGTGCTGTCTCTGCCTCAAAAGCAAATGAAAGAGTGATAGTCACTCAGTCGTGTCCAACTCTTTTCGACTCCATGGACTGCAGCCCACCAGGCTCCTGTCCATGGGATTTCCCCAGCGAGAATACTGGAGTGGGTTGCCATTTTCTTCTCCAGCCTCAAAAGCAAAGGAATTGATAACTGAATGGCCCAGGGGCAGGATACTGAAAGAGTTTGGATAGAATCAGGACTCAAACCCTAGCTGTTTTTCTTTTTTAATACTTGTCTATACCAGTTCTTTATTGTGGCATATGGGATCTAGTTCCCTGCTGCTGCTAAGTCGCTTCAGTTGTGTCCGACTCTGTGCAACCCCATAGACAGCAGCCCACTAGGCTCCGCCGTCTCTGGGATTCTCCAGGCAAGAACACTGGAGTGGATTGCCATTTCCTTCTCCAATGCATGAAAGTGAAAGGGATCAAATCTGGGCCCCCTGCCTTGGAAGTGCAGAGTCTTAGCCACTGGACCAGCAGGAAGTCTCAAACCCTAGCTCTTTGGATTCCACAAATTGTGATCTCTAAGCCAACATGGACTTTCCCCCCAGGCTTAAACATCGTGAAATGAAGATACAGATACTATGGTTGAAAAGAAATCCACATGCGTGGATTCACGCAGTTCAAACCAGTGCTGTTCAGGGGTCAGCCATACTTGCTTTCCTTGACTGTGGATTGGTGATCATCATGAAGGTCTCCTTACATGATGAGGGGATGAAAGGGCATGGTGGGTATGAAACACCTAGCATAGTGCCTAGGGTTAAGCCTTCCATATATGTTAGATAGGTGCTAACCCTGGAGGGGAAAGAAGTGGGAAGGGGACTATTTCATTTCCTTTTATTCTTCTGTGTTGCTGGAGAATTTTTCAACCAACTGTTTATATACATACATACATACATACATACATATATATATAATATGCAGACATATATATATATATATATATATATAAATTAGTTTACCGAATACAAGGTGACTTCCAGGTGGCTCAGTGGTAAAGAACTCGCCCGCCAAGTAGGAGACTCAGGAAACTCGGGTTCAGTCTCAGTGACAGGAAGATCCCCTGGAGAAGGAAATGGCAACCCACTCCAGTATTCTTGCCTGGGGACTCCCATGGACAGTGGAGCCTGTGGGGCTACAGTCCATGGGGTCGCAAAAGAGTCGGGCACAACTGAGCACGCGCACGTTCACGCTCAGGTGGTTTAAAAACATTGAACTTCAAGCTGGGGGGAGCCGTCTCACAGGGAGGCCAAAAGTCCCTCCCTGGTCCCTCACGAGGGGCCCTCAAACCTCGGTTTGGCTGTCGGTTGCAGTGACGCAGCCTCTCCCCGTTCCCCCCGCAGCTGGAGCCGGACGGACTGTTGGTGTGGGTCTTGGCCGGCACCCTGGGCCTCAGCCTCGTCTGTTCCTTGGTCTTGGTCCCGCTGCAGTGCTTCCAGCTGAGCCGAGTTTACGGCTGCTGCCTGCTGCTCCTCTACCTGACCTTCCTCGTGGTGGCCTTGCTCACTGAATTTGGAGTGATTCACTTGAAAACTGTGTGAGTGAAGCTGCGTCAGGGTCTGCCTGGTGGTCGGGAGGTGTCACTGCAGGCGGTGAGACGGAGGATGAAGTGCCTTCTGCAGAACTGCGCGGCCCTGACCGTGAATGGTGGGGTGGGCTCATGGGGGCCGCACTCTCTGCCAAAGATTCCAGGCCACTGCAATGCGCAGTGAGGACAGTCAAACCTCGTTTCTGGGACTGTGGCGATGGGGCTTCCCTGTGGACAGAGTCCCAGGCAGCAGGTGGAAGACTTGCTTGCATTACCTCCAGAGCCTCTTTTGAAGGTTGGGGCCTGGGTGGAAGGAGAAGCCTGGGTGCCTTCCAGGCTGGTTTGGGAAGACCCCAAAGAGTTCAGGGCTGGAGGCGGTTAGTCACCCCTTGCTGCCTTCCTGCAATGTGTCTCAGGGCTCAGAGGGCTGCCAAACCAGGGTTTAGGGAAGCAGGGTGACTCGGACCTGGCAGATAGCCCATGTCGGGTCAGCACAGAAAGTGTTCTGAGTTTTGGAGCTGCACCGTCCAGCAGAAATAGGAGACATGACCCTAATTGTGAATTTCTGAGTCGCCATGCTAATAAAGCCAAAAGAAAAAGGTGAAATTAATCACAATACATATTGCTCCACAATGGCAGCCAGTGGCAATGGCCCATCAGCAGCTCCATATTGGATGGTGCAGCTCCAGGCTCTGTCTCTAGAACTGTCTGCCGGCCTCAGAGGTTTCCCTATCTGCGAAACAGGAGTCAGTTTGACAGCGCCCTGTGCCTACCTCAGGGGGAGCCCTGGGCTGGGGTTCCCCTGCCTGTAAGCTCTGGGAGGGTGGTGAGCACTCCCGGGTGCCTTCCTGCTGGCAGCCAGTGACCCCCTTTTTAATAAGCCACTTTTCCGTTTGCTCGATGCCTTTGGCCAGCAGTAAAGGGATTCGACTGTCTTTTCTTCCAATGAACATAATTATTAAATATTTCAAGGATACAGAAAATAACGTACACCCAGCTGTTACTAGTTCTTCTTAACCTGGGCCAGGGTGACAGGTGGTTGGTTCCAGGGCCAAAGGTTCTGGGGCCTGATGGATCTGGACTTTGTGGCGCATCTAGGGGTAGGGGTGGGGCTGAGGTGGTGTCCCTGCTCTCCACGATCGTGGAGGCCACCGAGTGGTGCATGCTGGAAGTCACGAGGCGGCAGCCACACATACAAAGCGGAGGCTCTTTATTAATATACCAGAAATCCGCAGACACGGTGGGTTTTCTCAGTTACAAATCGCCGACGTACAAAACCTTACAGCGTCGTTCCCGCTTCCGATACAAAATGATTGTCACGTGGTGTGGAGTAAGGCTGGGTTAGGTAGGGGCGGGAAGCGAGGAGGAGGGGCCGGAGGGCGTTCCCCTCCCAGAGCTGGGTCGGGGCACAGGGCCCTCGGACGCTGACTGACAGGCGGTGGGGCACCCAGAGCAGGCTCGCGTGTCCTGTGTCAGCGTCACTGAGCTGATGTGGGAGGCGAGAGGGCATCCGAGTTGGGGGAGCTCACAGCCCTGGTGACACCCGCTCCCTGCTCGATGGCCTGTGTGCAAGTTGGAGGGTCCACCCCAGTGACCCCACGGGGGCAGCTGTCCTTAGGCTCAGTGATGAGGGCACCCGCCAGTGGGCTGGAGTCTGGGCCATTGGCGTTGTTACCACTTGGCTTCCGTCCTGTCCCTGACTAAAAACAGGGCCTTTCGCAGGATAGGGTTGGGAAGCCTGGACTTAACCCCGCTCTTCCTGGTAGCAGCTGTCACCCTGGCGGGGGGGGCGGTGCACTCAGCCTCCCTGGCACCCCTTTTCTGAGGGCAGATACTGAGGTAGGAGGACTCACGCCCTCCTTTCAAGGCTGCCCCTTGCCTCCTGCTTCCAGAATGCCCATTTCAATACACAAAAGCTAAAAGGCACCCAGTTGTGCAAATAAAGTTCCTTCTCTGGAGCAGGGAAGGGGTCCAGGACTGGGCCTGGTGTCAAGCTGCCCGTGGCAGCCCGTCGCTCCCCAGAGATCAGGAGGACAATGTCCATCTCCTGATTCCTGGTGGAAACCTCAGTGGTTCTTAGTGATTTGTTTCCCTAAAGGGCTGTGCTTTTAAAAAAAAAAAAAACATCACCACCCCTCCCCTGATGAGGGGCAGAGCTATGGGATGCTGGCTCTAGTGATCAGCCCATCCAAGGCCGCAGTCGAGAAGACTTGGCCGTGGAGATGGGGTAGGGGAGCTGGGTCCTGTCCTGCTGTAAAGAGAACGAGGGGAGGGCGGAGTCTCTGCCCCTGTCCCCACCCCCACCCCCTTCCTAGCTCACGGAGGCCTTGGAGGCAGCTGGAGAGCTGGGGTTGGAGCAGGACGCCCAGTGGGGGCTCTTCCCCCGGCCCTGTCGTCCCTGCATGCTGCACCCTGCAGCTGCACCACTGCTAACCCTGCCCTGCCGTGCATTCACGCCCCAGCGGCACTCTGATCTCAGAGGACTCACCCAAGGTCCCCGGGAAACTGAGAGGCCATCTGAACCTCCTCCCGGGAGGGGGAGACCTTGGAGTGAGCCGAGTCCCCACTCCCACCTCAGTCAAGTCCACGGGGAGTGACTCGCTCAAGGTGAGGGCAGAGCCAGCCAAGGGGACCAACGAGTTAGGTGGCCGTGGACGACCTGAGGTCAGCTTCCATGCCTTTTGTTCCCGTTTCCAGAGAACGCACATGTGTGAATGACTTGCTACGGTCTTTGGCAGAATCCTGAATTAACCAAAACATCTTTTTGCTTGAACAGGACAATCTAAGGAGAAAGCCCATTCCCTTTAGGACTTGGTCTGGGGTGGTAGCCACCGGCCTGGCCTCTGGCCTGTTCTCCTATGGGCCATCTTAGAAGCATTTTCAGCAACAAGGGTTGAAACTTATGGTAGGTGCGAAGGCTCATGGAGCCAGGATACAGCATCTCTGGCCACCCGGCGCTGGCTGAGATCTGACCATGCGCAGTGCCCACGGCCCCGGATCACACGTTCCGGTAAGTGCTTGCTGAGTACTGGTTTCCCAACGGAACACCCATTCCATGATCATCACATCTGGAGACATACCAACCCGAGGATGTGGGCTCTTTCCTTTCTAAGTGGTTTTGTCCCCAAAGCAGGACACAGGAGCCCTGGGCCGGGGGCCGCAGGGCAGGTCAGTGGGGAGGCTGCCAGGCGGGGAAGGATTCTGAGTGCAGTGTCAGGAAGACAGTGTGGACGGGCACGCGGGCCCACTGTGAAGGCCAGACCTACAGAGATCGGCAGGTCCATTCAAGTGCTCTTGTGAAGGGGCCTTCATGTTAAGAGCCGCTCTTGGTGGCCTGACCGCTCCCAAGATGAAGCTGACTTCCAGGGTTAAATAGGGTTAAGGCAGTTATAAACCAAACCCTATCTTGTCGGCCTTTTTCTCCTTTCTGTATATAAATATGTGCATATATATATATGGATGTGTATATATGTATAACACATACATATATACACATACATTACTTTGATACATTGTAGTAAAATAATACTATTTGTGTTATTGCATAGAAGAGATGGCTTTTGCAGGCTGGGCTTAGGTGATGGTCTGGGAGCGCTGGCGACTGCCTGGAGATTGCTGGGTGGCAGGGACCGTGCAGCTGCTGAGCTGTCGCTGCTGTTTCTCCTGCTTGCGGGCATGTTCCTCGTACCACTCCTAAAGCGAGAGAGCAGACAGCGTGCTGGGTGGGTCCCCACCCTAGTCCTGCCAGCTAACCCCAGCCTGACGGGGGTCACCCAGGCCAGGCAGCTCTGGGCCCTCCACCTGCTGTGGGTGGCCGGAGGGAGTCTGCTGCCAGCACCACCCAACTGGGACCGAACACCATCCCTACCCCAGACCTGCTGGGAAGGCTGACTGTTCCCCTAAGTGGAAAAATTACTGAGCAATCTTTCCCTTTCTAATTAGAGGTGTGCAAACCTCCTTGTCCAGCGTGCTTTACACAATCCTCTTTGTAAATGAGGCCCAGGTAGTAGTAATCACCCTTTACTTGTGAACATAACCCGTGTGGTTCACAAAGGGATGTATCCCCACCAACCCCCCATGGTATGTATCCCCTTGGAGCTGGGTGTCCTTATCTTACACCCGAAAAACCTGGAGCTCACAAGTTGTATAAAGTCGTGTGAAGTTTCAGTGCACCTCCTAACTCCCCTCTTCGAAGAGGCTGGTCCTGGCAAGCGGGCCAGGACCCCCCACACCCCCCAGGCTCCCTCTGCCTTGTGTGTGTCCTCCTCGGTTCTGGCTCACAGGATGAGAATGAGATGAGGTCAGTGACATGTGGAAGAGCAGATAGGGGGGCCACCTAATGCTTCAAGGGTTCAAGGCTGAGGCCTGAAGCACCCCTTCCCGAGTCCCAGACACCACTGGTGGTGGTTCCAACAGATAATCCCACAGCTCCCCACCGAGCACTCCCCACAACTCAAGACGGACACTGGAGATTGGCCCCCACCTGGTAGTGGGGAGGACTCCCGGGTAGGAGGAGATTGCAGCACAGTTGGGGTGCTCCTACCTTAATCTCCTCTTGGTACATCTTTAGGCTCAGGTCACTTTTGGTCCTTGATCTCCGTCCCAGAAACACTAAGGTATTTTGCTAGGGAAGAAGGGAGAGGTTACAGGGACCCGCCTGAGCCTGGGCCCTGGTGCCCAGCTTCAGCAGGCCTCACCTGCTCCTCTGGCTTCTGCAAAGGTGCCCCCCACCAAAAAAAAAGTCACTAAAACTTGTGGGGACAGGGGCCTTCCCTGGTGGTCCAGTGATTAAGCTGGAGAAGGAAATGGCAACCCACTCCAGTATTCTTGCTGGGAGAATCCCATGGACAGAGGAGCCTAGCAGGCTACAGTCCATGGGCCTGCAAAGAGTTGGACATGACTGAGCAACTAAACAATGGCTAAGTGGCTAAGAATCCATCTTCCAATGCAGGGGACATGGGTTTGATCTTTGGTTGGGGAACTGAGATCTCACCTGCCTCGGGGCAACTAAGTCTGTATGTCACAACTAAGGCCCAGCACAGCCACACACACACACACAAAAACTTGAGGGGATGGACAGTGGGGGAGGGTTTGCACTAAGCTCCTTTGGACGAGGCCCTGGGGCTCCCCACCTCGTATCTCTCCATCTGGGAGAGGATCTTGAGCAGCTGGGCGGTGTCTGAGTTGGCTCCCTCTGCCTCCCGGTAGAGCTTCAGAACTGCAACCAGCTCATCTTTGGAGAGCTCCTTCTCCAGGGTGATGCCACTGTCCACTGCGGGAGGGGAGGGCGGCGGTGGGAAGGTGCCTGGCATGGTCTGGTTTAGCCAGCCTCCCTGCTGCCCCTATGGGGAGCTTAAGGTTCCCTGGATCTGCAGGATACAACCCCCACGTCACCCCCACCATCTAGCACTCCCGTCCCTCCCCTTTCCTGCCCTTCATAGGTGCTGTGAGGAGTGCTGCTCAGGCCAGCAGCGAACAGGGGCCACAGGGCTGCAGAAGGCTGTCCCCAAGCCAAAAGAGAACGATTAGGTAGCCTGAGAGGACAGAGATTTGGAAACAAGTAGCAGTAGGGATGTGGCAGTTTTGATGGAGAATCTGGAAAGAACAGAGGATCAGTGCACAGAAAGCTATGCAACCCGGGAAAAGGGAGGCAGTCACTGAAGCCGGGGGCCTGTCAAGCTGCTATGGGCTCTGTGGCCCACAGTATTTACAGTTTAAAATCAAGAACCAGAGGACAAACATGTTTAGGAACACAGGGACGGTAACTAAAAGGAACAGCTAAGGGGTGAGCAGACTGGGAGATGAGAAAGGTGGGACAGAGGGCTGCTGGGGTCACAGTCGGCCTGTGGTTTTTCTTGATCTCTGACCTGTATTGTTATGGTTTTTAAGATGAGATCCTGGGCATTTTTTTTGTCACTAAGTATTTGAAAATAATGCAAATAAGAGGTCAAGAAAGATGAGCCAGACTGGTAAGCAGTACTGCCTGGAGACTGGACATCCAGACAGCTAAAAAGCTGACAGCTGGACGGACAGAAGCGCAGCAGGCGGCAGACACCTGCACTGACCTTCTGAGTCTTGGTTCTTGCGGCTGTAGTTCATTCGGAAGACAAAGGCTTCGAGGATGAAGGCCACAATGATGGTCATCACCACCTGGCCAGGCGCAGGGAGAAGAGGGGAGAGGAATGGAGCACTGTGAGTTGCGGTGGGGCCCCAGAGCCCAGCCAGATGTGTCCCCGGTCCCTCCTCCCTGAGCTGCACCCAGTGAGGAGGCAGCTTGTGAAGACAGGACGGCGGGCACTCTGCAGCCCCCAACCTACCATGGTCACGATGTAGAAGGTCATGAAGTAGAGGCGGCTCCAGTGCGACGTCTGGGAGGTGACACCTTCCTGCGGACGGAGGGAAGCAGGCGGTGAGCGAGCGCTGGGGGCGGGGATGCGCTGTCTACGCAGACTTCTCCATGGCCCCCGCTCTTTGCAGACCCTTCCTGCTCTGCCTTCAGTTGTGGAGACAAAGGAGGCCAACCGGGCTCCTTGAGTATAAAAGCTCCTCGAGTATAAAAGCTCCTCTGTGCTCCTTAGGCCTGGACGCCTCCCCGCCCAGAGCTAATGGTTCAGGACTAATGCAGGCAGCCTTTGGAAGAATTTAAGGGCTGGGAAAAACCAACCAAGCACCTTGGCCACACTGTTCCTTGATTGGCAGGTCCCCCCCCCCAGTGGTGGGAGCAGGACAGAGACCAGAGGCTGCCTGGCCTCTCCTGGCTGGTGAGGGATGTGCAGAGAGGGTGGGGAGCAAGGCCACATTCAGCTAATGGTGGGGTGGCCCCTGGATTCAGCCCATATCCTGGTCTTCCCGCAGAACCCCACCCCCTGCGGGGGATAGGAGAGCAAAGCACCCCATGCTGGGCTGGGCGAGGGGAGACCTGGCTGCAGCGAATGGTGAGCAGACACCCCCAGGAGCTGACAGGGAGGTCCTTACCATGGTGATGTACCAGTTGTTGACGACCGTGAGCTCGAACAAGGTCACTGCCAAACAAAAGGGAGACACAGAAGCGTCTTAATCAGACCCGCTTTTGCAGAGTGGGGTCAGTGGCCTCTCTCCATCTATCTTGGGTACCAGGCACCTGTCTGCCAGCCTGGGCTGCGTGCTCCAGAGAGAGTAGCCAAGACCCTTCCAGAGCGCCCACCCCATGGGAAGTGGTCCCATCTTGGCCTGGCCCCAAAAGCATGCGTCTTTTGCCTCAGCAGCTCGAGATGCTGGGGTGGGGACCAGGGCTGGGGTAAGGATGCTGAGGAAGAGCCCCCTAGACCTTCCTCGGTCTAGGATGTCGTGAGGGGATGCTCTGAGAAAGCTGCGTCTGGCAAGGCCCCTTCCCTCCATGGCCCCCTGCCCTCCCAGCTTCTCCGTGGAAGCCGGGAGCAGAGCTGTGTGGGCCTGGCCTGGGTGGTACAGGGTACGGTGGCTGGGGCCTGCCCTGCATCAGGCTGTACCCCTCCCAGCCAAGCGTGAAGCTCTGCTGCTCCCCGATGCTGAGAAAGAAACAGGAGATGCAGTAAAACCTGGTGACCGAGTGAGCCCTGGGGTCTGGCCTGGGCTGCACCCCCAAGCTGGGCAAAGCAGAGGCTCCATGGGGGCCAGACAGGCCTCGAGTGACTGTGGCAAACGCCCTGGGAAGGGGGAGGCCTCGGCCAGCTCCACTCCCCGGCACCTGGGACCTGTGGGTGCCATGGCCCGCCTGCACTTCTGCACTCACCAAAGCTATTCAGGATGTTGTCAAAATTGTTGAGATAGTAGTAGCCCTCCTCCACGACGGTCCTGTTGCCCACAGTGTGGTTCAGCCAGCGGTAGGCGTCTGCCACTGTGCTTGTACTGGCCAGGGAGACAGAAGGGTGGGGGGAAGGTCACAAGACAACTGGTCACCTCGACAGAGGACAGAAAATTTAAACAAACCAAGGTCTGACCAAGGAGCATCTGGCCTGGACCAGCCTGGTTTCCTTCCCAGCACCCACCCCCCCCCCAAGCCCCCTGCTCTCTTGCCTGTCTTCCTGTCTCAAGGGGAGTCCCCACGGTGCTGGTGGGAACCCCCAGACTCGCCCCCCACATCCTCCTCCACTTGGCATTTCTCTGCTGCCAGCCGAGACCTCCCTCTCAGCAGCTGGAGGAGGGGAAAGACAGTGCGTCCTCTAGGCAACTGCCCCACCCCTGTCCCCACCCCCGCCAGTCTGGGGTGTGCTCTGGAGGCCAGCAGAGCCTGGAGAGAGGCCCCCTCCTCACGGGGCTTCCCCAGCACCTGCTGGGGCGTTGTATTCTCTCCTGTTCTAATCAGTTGCTCCTGTTCTGAGAGCTTACTTGCTACTTCCCTTCCAGCCTTTTATGGCTCATCTGCTGTAACTCATGCTGATGGTTTGACATGTTTGGTCCTTGGGCCCCCGAGCAGCTTGTTCAGACAGGGTGGGGTCTGGAGTTTGCACTTTTAAGCAGCTGCCCTGGGGGTTCTGGTGTGCTCTAAGATCTGTGACCCACCGCTATGGGCTCTGGTTCTGAGCCCAACACACTGCCGGTGTCTCTGGGACCTTTATCTATCAGAGCTTGAAGCTACAAGGATGGATTCTAAAGAGAATCCTAGATGCACCATGAGGGCCTGGGAGGAAGGAAGGGATCACGGGAGATTGTGTTCCCTGCTCTGGAGACAGGTAGGAGGAAGCCACAGGCCCCTGGCCCACACTCCAGCAGTGGAGCAGCCTCCAGTGTTCAGCGTGAAGGGAAAGCTGACGGAGGCCTGCTGGGAGAGAGGCTCCCAGAGCCTGCCTGGGGGACAGGGCAACTGGCTCAATGTCCTCGCTTTAGGGAGGCCCCTCCCCTAGCTGCTGCACTGGACTAACAAGCCCTGGAAGCTCAGCACGGGATCCCAGGGCTGTAACAGGTACGATGGCTTTGGGAGTCGGGTCCCTGGGGAGTCAGCTGGCGGTGCCAGTCCCGTCTGGGACCCTCCAGGAACGCATGCTGCCCCCGGGGGGCCCCTGCCATGAACTCACTTGCAGCAGTTGGGGTAGAGGATTCCACAGAAGAATTCCATGCCCACGATGGCGAAGGAGTAGTAGAAGATGAGCAGCGTGAGGCCCAGGCTGGGGAGGAGGGTCAGAGGGCACAGGGTGATCGAGGGCCCGGCGGGAGAGCCCAGCTTGCCCGGCGGCCCCAGCACCACAGACCCCCGAGCTGACCGAGGGGAGATGCGTGCCCCTAGCCAGGTGCGCCGGCTGGAGAATGCCTGCAGGGGAGGGGGCCTCGGATTCGGGTCGGGGGGTGGAAGAACGGCTCGGGTGAGGACTCTCGCACCAGACGCCCCTCTACCAGCAATTCACCCCTTACCTGTGAAGGTAGACTCACAGGTGACCCTTACCTGTGAATGTAGACATAGGTGGTAAGTGAAGGTGACAGTTCCCTGCCCTCCCTATTAACTATCTCAGATGGCTCAGTGAAGACAAGGGGAGCCAGGGAGACCTGTGGTGGTCAAGACCTCGGGCTCCTTGAAGACCCGTCAGACCCTCGATGTCCGTCCTTTCCGGGACTCCTCCTCGCCCCCGCCACGCCCACCCACCCAGCTGCCCGCCCCGAGGGGGCACAAGCCTCAGGGCTCTACCTGGCCATCCGGGGCAGCAGCTCAAACATGGTGTCCAGCACGTTGCGGTAACGCTTCTTCAGCTTAAACAACCTGAGCGAGGGAAAACGGAGGCCAGCCGGGTCACTTACAGAGGCCGCAGCTCGGCCCATCCACTGCACCAGGGGGTTGGGGGGCAAGGCAGGCCTGGGGCCTCTCAGCCACCTGAGCGCCTCCTCTCCCCCAGAGTTGCCAGCTAGGCACTCGGCTTAGGTGACTGGTACCCTGGGAAGGGTGGTGGCGGTGCCAGGACGTTGGGGGCGGGACGGGCTGGGCCCCTCCGTGAAGGGGTTCAGGGCAAGACTCGGGTGGCCGTGAATGGGCTCGCAGCTGGATATTCTAGAGGAAAACGAGGCTTCAGAGGACACAAGGAGACCTCTTAACTGGTAAAGGACAACATCCATAGATTTCTACAGATCTGTGCTAGGTTCATACACTGGTGCCCGGCGGGGGAAGCTGAGAGCAAGTGATGGTTTTTCTTGACAAGAGACTATGCCAGAAAATCATGACTGGGGCACGGTAGGGGCTCAAAGGGTCGTTCTGGACCCTCAGGGGGCTGTGGCTCCCTGGTTTGTGACTGAGCACATGGGTTTCTGCAGCTGATACCAGCACAGGCCAAGTTCACCAGAGCCCTGAGCCATGGTTCTCTTCCACGGTCAGAGGCAACAGGTCCCAAGATGTGGGCGGGGAGCAGTCTGCACAGGAGGTCGAGGCCCCCAGCACGCCCGAGCACCCACCCCAGGAGCTCCCGCAGGGGCGAGCCACCTCTGACACGCGGCCGGTGAGCCCTGGGCTCCGTCTGGTCGCTGCCTGCCCACCAGACCCGGCCCCTGCCGTCACCTCAGGCCCGGCCCCCGCTGTCACCTCAGCAGCTGGAGCGGGCGCAGGACCACTATGAAGTAGAAGGGCTCAGTGTTGAAGGCCAGAGCCAGCAGCCCCAGGAAGGCAAAGGCGGTGACGCAGACGTCGAACCTGAGGAAGAGAAGCTGTGGTCTGCTCAGCCCGCCCCCCGGGGCTTCCCTGCTCCAGGGACACCCCCACAACGTCCGTAGGCTTCTACACGTGTGCTCGTTTCCTGTGGTGGTGGCCAGGGAGAGCTGAGAGCGAGGGAGGATTGTTCTTGACAGGAGACTCAGAAAATCAGGGCTGAGGTGTGGTAGGGGCTCAGCGGGTCCCCGTGGACCCTCAGAGGTTGCGGCACTCTGATTTATGACTCAGCACACATGACGGTTGGAGCCCACACACCAAACTACTGCAAAGGCGGCCGCAGGCCCCGCAGGGCCCACAGCCGGCCAGCTTCCTGCTGCCGTCGGGTGTCTTTGAGGCTGGCGTGGCTGGGCCTCTCAGTCAGCAGCACACCCCTCAGGGGTCGGAAACCCCTTCCTGAAGGTCCCGCACTGGTCTCATGGCAGACACAGGATACACCAGTGACCCTGGGGAAGGGACTTCGGGGTGGGGCAGGACCACAGCGGAGGCCTGCCTGGAGACCAGCTACCCCCACGCAGGGTAGAGGACCCACCCCCCATCCCCCGCCAGATATATATTAAGGCCCTGCACCTGCCAACTGCAAGCGCACGCCCTGCTGCTCTGCCCAGCTCCTCTCTACTTATTAACCTATTTCACTCTTAGGACCTGAGACCACGTGAGCGTGGCCTGACTTTGCAGGTGAGTTAACTTTCATGGGCAGTGAGCGACCTCTCGGGGTCTCTGAAACAGGGAGAGGGGCCTCCAGCTCGATGCTGAGCATGCATCAGGCTGCGTGCCACCTCCTCTGTAAGCGTTGTGGTTTTCAGGGAGGATAAGAGAGCTTAGTTGTCAGGGAGGAGTGTGGGGTTCAGTGATTCAGAAAGAGCCAGCCGGCCTAAGGACCCCCAAGAGGCCTCCTCCAGGAGGGACTGGGGGGGTTGTCCCAGGGAGGAAGATGAGGGCCTCTGGGGGTGCCCAGAGCCACAGGCAGAACCCCTCCAGAAGACAGAGACCCAGGCTGGCCTCGGACCTTCTGGTGGTGGGTGCAGAGGGAGAGGGCCCGTGGCTTTCATCAGAGTCTCTGACATGGTTGAGACACATGCTCTGGGGACTTCCCTGGTGGTCCAGGGGCTAGGACTCCTCGCTCCCAAGGCAGGGGACCCAGGTTCGATCCCTCGTCAGGGAACTAGATCCCACGTGCCGCAACTAAAGAGTTAACACACTGTGACTAGAGATCCCACGGGCTGCAAAGACTGAAGACGCTGGGCACCACAGCTAAGACCCGCCATGGTCAAATAAATAATCAAATAAATATATATTTTTTAAAACAGAGATACATGCTCTGTACTCACAGGTTCCATCCGGAGGACAGGTACCTGATGGGACCCAGGCCGGCAACTTTCAGGAACAGCTCCACCGCGTAGACTGCGCAGGAGGAGGCAATGAGCAGGGGCCCTGCTGCAGCCTCCCCCACACCTGGCCTGGCTCCTTTCTCAGGACTCTCCTGAGGTCTGGTCGCGTGCGCTGTGGACACCCACGTCCCACCTGCGCCCCCAGTGAGAGGGTGGGCTCTGGGGCAGGACCTGGCCCAGATGCTGGCCAACCAGGGCTGCCTACTAACAAGACCAGCACGCGATCCCGCTGTCTGGGGGGTGCCAGGCCCTGCACTGGGTGCTTAGAGTTTAGAGGAAGACGGGGAACGAGGATGTTACACTGGGGGAGGTATCACATTTGAAACAATCAGGGGCCAGCCTGGATGTGATCTTGGTCTGGTTGAGAGGCGGAAGGAAGGTGGGAGTCACTGGAACATGATGAAAGGAGGAGGTGAAGGGGGAGCTGTGGAGGGGACTTCGGGTCACATGAGAGACACCCCTGGGAATGGACCCCCAGGGCTCTCTGACCCGAGTGTGTGCGCTGAATCCCTATGCTACTCTGAACTCCGCCGAAGACGCCGGAGGGCACTAATGAAGGCAGTCGAAGTCCTACTTTTTTTAAGAAGAATGAAAACAATTTAGGATGTGGCGTTACTAGTTATGTCTAATGTTTAGACATGATGGGGGGAGAGGGGTGTGGTGAGGGGATGAGTGCACTGGCAGATGAGACACCAGGGTAAGAGAGGGCAGGGGGTCCTGGGGAGCAGGATGCGTTCCGGGGCACAAGGCTGGGGGGTGGTGCTGGTGAGAGATGAGGCCTCAGATGCAGGCTGAAGGGGCCCCACGTGGCCCTGTGAGTCACGCCCAGCACAGGGACTTGGTCTGGAGGGCAGTGGGCAACCACCAAAGAGTTTAGAATCGGGACGGGGAGGATCAGACCCTACTTCTGCTTCCCGCCCCTACGCTCCCCTGCTTTAAAGAGGAGCCATGAGACCCTAACCCAGGAGGAGGTTCCAGCCAGTGGTGAGGACAAGCACACGAGCACGGCCATGCCAGCAACTTACTAGTCAGAAAGACGAGGTAACTCCACGGCACGTGCTTAGAGACGAAGTTCCCACCTGTAAGAGAAGCAGCAGTTGAAGAGGTGGGCGAGGGGCTTCCCTGGTGGTCCAGTGGTTAAGAATCTGCCTGCCAACGCAGGGGACATGGGTTCGATCCCTGGTCGGGAGAGATCCCATATGCAGCGGAGCAACTAAGCCTGTGTTCGAAGAGCCCAGGAGCCGCAACTACTGAGCCCATATGCCCCAACTACTGAAGCCCGTGTGCCTAAAGCCCGCGCTCCACAACAAGAGAAGCCACTGCAATGAGAAGCCTGTGCACCGCAAAGGAGATAAGCCCCTACTCTCCACAACTAGAGAAAAACCGCACCCAGCAACAAAGACCCAGCATAGTTGCAAATAAATAAATAAATATATCTTAAAAAAAAAAAACAAACAGGTGGGCCAGGTGCGCCCACAGGCCAGGCCGGTCCCCTTGCTGGGCTCACCTTTCAGCATGAAGGTCTCCACAAGCATCCAGACCCCGTTGACCGCCACCACCAAATCTGCAACAGACAGGCTCATGAGAGAGAGAGCACAGGTGGGTGTGGGAATCCACAGGTCACAGCTGCAGCCCCTGCTTAGTTTATAGGCAACTCAGAGAATGCAGGGCAGCTCCGTGTACACCCAGATAACAGGTGACTTCCTACTTAAGGCTGTTACCATGAGCTACATCGACCAGTGGTTTCACTTAGAAAACAGGTACAGATTCCTAAAGACACGCTCTATGTCACTGTAGGGATATCAGTTAAGATGTTCCAGGACAAAAAAAAAAAAAAAGATGTTCCAGGACAGTAGAAGCTAACACAACACTGTAAAGCAACTAGACTATTTTAATTGATAAAAATTTTAAAAACTGTTTCTGTAAAACCTGCAGCTTATTCCAGGTTGATGTATAAGATGGACCACATACAAAGGGTTTGAGTACTGACATCTGTTTTTCCCTAGAGACATCTGATCCGTCAATGACACCAGGAACTAATTAGCAAAATTGCACATGCACTTGGCCTTTCGTCTAGCAGTCCCACTTACAGAATCCACCCCAATGAGACATTGGCAAAAACACAGAATGACGTATTCTGAAAGCTATTTACTGAAGAGCTATTTGTGACTGCAAAGAAACTGGAAACAACCTAAATGATGGACAGGAGGCTGGATGAGTAAACTATGATACATTCACGAAATGGTATACTGTCAACTATAAATCTTAATTATGTTGAACTGATTCATAGGGCTTTTCAGGTCTACTGTATCCTTCTACTTTTCTATCTATATCACTAAATTTTTGAAGAGTTTGATATTGAAACTCCAACTAAAAATCTTAATGTATCTACTTAATTGTAATATATATAATGTAATATATAATAGAACCATACATAACTTTGTTCTGTATTTTCCAAGTCTCCTGTAAATGTGTTATCATACTTTCACAATTTAAAAAAAAAACTCATGAAGTACATGTATAATATCCATAGAAAAGAAAGAAAAAAATGATCATCAGCAATTAGACAGTTAAATATTTAAAAAATAAAGAACATCTCTGTATTAATAAGATGTGGTCTCTAGAACATATTGTTAACTGAAAAAAGCAAAGTTGAAAAAAGTGTATAAACTGTGTTAGTTTATTTAAGACAGGAAAATGTGCGTATATGCATCTACTTATAGTTTTTAAAAATGGAAGGATAAAGTATAATAAAAGTTACCCAGTGGGGGCGGTGACAGGATTAATTGAGACTTCCTTGAATATATTTTGTCTGGTAGATCTGACTTGTAATCATATATATATATATATTTACATAATTATAAAGCAAAATTAAATGTAAAAAGACATCTCTAAAATAATGTTTAAATGCTCCATCATTTCATTTTATTTTGGCCATGCCACACAGCATGTGGGATCCCAATTCTCCCAACCATGGATCAAACCCCTGTCCCCTGCAGTGGGAGCACAGAGTCTTAACACCCCTGGGCTGCCAGGGAAGTCCCCTAAAATTTTTTTAAAAAAATGAAATAAACGGTACTGATGAACCTATTTGCAGGGAAGGAATGGAGATGCAAATATAGAGAATGGATTTGTGGACAGAGTGGGGGAGGCAGACAGTGGGACCAGTGGAGAAAGAACAACATATATACATTGTCATATAAAGTAGATCCTGGTGAGAAGTTGCTATATAACACAGAGAGCCCAGTCTGGTGCTCTATGATGACCTAAAGGGGTGGTATGGGGAGGGAGATGGAAGCTCAAATGGGAGGGGATATATGTATAATTATGGCTGATTCGTGTTATTGTAAGGCAGAAACCAACACAACATTGGAAAAATTTTAAAAACAAAATTTTTTTGAAATAAAAAAATGAAATAAATCTTAAACATGCATCTAGATGGTGACATACCCACATGGAGAAAAACTATTCCGGGTGACCTTAAGACATAGTCATCTAAATGTTTATCCCTGCGGTGGTGTTTCTAACAATTTTAATGGTTGTGTTGGTATTGTTCTTTTGGAGACTATGTGTGGAGACACAGTGTGGACTGTGAGATACAGCAAGTGAGCGGTTGTGTCAGTATTGCTGGGAACTAGGATTTTAAGACTGGGAATTTAGATATGAAAGAATGATGGAGTTAGGTAAAAACCTATAGTCCAAAATTTCAATTAAGAATATCAAGAAAAATTCACAAGCTAGTTTACCTTTAAAAAAAAAAAAAAGAAAAAAACAAAATCCTACCTCTGTCCATGGGAAGTCCTGGAAACAATAACCAACTCCAAGCAACGCGTACTGTTAGCATCTCCAACTGTGATCTCTAAACACCATTTCCCATTAAATGGAACCAGAGCTCCTTAGAAAGGGTGAATCCCACCAAACCTCTGGGTGAGTAGAACGGTCTGCATCTGTGCAGTCCCATTGGTCATCATTAGCCAGATGTGGTTACTGAGTGCTCAAACTTCGGCTACTGTGATGGGAACTGAATTTTTAATTTTAGTTGGCTTAAATTCAAATAGCCACGTGTGGCTAATGGCTGCCATGTTGGACAACACAGCTCTAGCTCTAACTACCAAACTACAGGACATAAGCAACAGAGGAACATGCAAAAACAAGGCTGAAGGACAAATAGTCCTGTTTCTTCAACTCAGTATTGCAAGAGGGAAAAAATGGATGGAGGAGAAACCTATAGATTAAAACAGGTCAAAGTGATGTGTCAACCAACCATAATCTGTGGTTCTGGAATCTGATTCCTAAAACCCCAGGTCTGGAGAAGGGGTGATGAGCTGGACTGAGGGGATTAGATGGACAAGAAAGACCGGCCAGGAGATGATAACTGTTGAAGCTGGGGGATGGGTACATGGATGCTCATTACAGTCCCTCCACTTTCACACATGCTTGGAATTTTCTATGATAAAAAGCCAACGCCATGACTTATCCCTCGCCCCTCCACCTTCTGGAGCAGTGAGACTCAGGAGGAAAGAGACCTAGAGCTGTGACATTTTGCACTTACACATGAAATACTGGAAGGCCTTGGACTTCACAAGGATATTAATTCCTATTTGAAGAGAAGAAATGCTAACAGTGAAATTTTCACACATGAGTATATACACGATCACCAACCACATATGTCATGCATGTAAGCAAATGGGGTGTTTATGTCCAGGGGATGAAAAAGGAAGGGCCTGCTCTCAGAGGAACGCCCATTCTTTTTTTTTTATTTATTTTTATTTTTATTTTTTTTATAGGAACGCCCATTCTTATGCCCCTGGACAACAGTGCATTGGCAACAGCCGCTCTGGGCAGAGCCGGGGCAACCTGGAGCCATGACAGCAGAGCAAGGCTTTGCTGGCTGCTCCTGAAACTTCAAGTTTGCTCCTGGCCTAGAGCCGGCCCTGTTTACTCATCCACTTGAATAACTATCTTCCCAATGGAATGGAAAACTCGCTAAAGAACATGGAATAGTAACAGCTGTGCTCAAAGTTCTATCCTATCTTGGGAGAAATCCCAAAATAGGATATACCATTTTAACTCTTTTTTTTTCTGGCCACATTGAGCAGCACGGGGAACTTCCCCAACCAGGGACAGAACCTGAGCCCCCTGCATTGGAAGCACGCATCTTAACCACTGGACCGCCAGGGGGGTCTGGCCATTTTAGCTCTTGTTCAAAATAGTTGAACTGTAACCCCTGTGAGCTAAGCACAGGGAACTTCAAAACTGGCATGAAATTCAGGGAAAATTATTAGATAAATGATACAGTGGACTCATGTTAAAATTTTGAATTTTATACGATACAAGCATCACTATGAGATCAGATACACTAGCTATATATCCTGATACAACAGGAAGGTAAAAAGTCTATTATTAGGTAAAAAGGCATGTTTCAGAACAGAATCTACAATGTTTTTTAATCTGTTCTTAAAAGGCACAGAAAATAACCCGTAACAAAAGGAAACAGATCAGAAAATTAATACTGATTATCTCTGTGTGGGAGACTTTCCTTTTCTTCTAATTATCTAACTTTGTATCCATTTCCTTCAATGAGTAACTATTCATATAGTTCAGTATTGATTGAACTAATCAACAATAGCTCGAAAAATAATCCACTATTATTTTTTGTTTGGTTTTTATGTTACTGATTTCCCTCCCTAGTCCAATACTAATTCTCTGCTAGGGTCATCATACTCTTTTACACACCCAGTTCATATGCATGTGTGCGCACACACACTCTGGTCATGTTCTTTAAATGCTCATCAGTGGCCTCTGGAAACCTCCATTTGTCTCCAGCTGTCAGGACGCCATGTTCAGGTCAGCCTTACCTTTGAAGATGAGGAATGCTGTCCTGGGAAGCTCATCAAACCAGTGTTCTCTATTTCTCTTTGCCTGACCGAGGAACAGGGCCGTGGGAGAGAGGAAGTTAGGACCAGGGACCGGAAACCCAGCCCTGGGGGCCAGGGTGCCGCTTTCCTTTCCTGCTCTCTGACTAACTTGGGAAACCATGAAAATACTCGGGGATCTACAGAACAACCAAGCCAGCCAGGTCTGCTGATCTTTTTCAGTGTGCTGTGCACTGGCATTATTTTTATATGGTCCTGAAAATACCACAGCAGGGTGGGACTCTCATGACCCCATTTCCCAGGTGAGACAAGTCTTGGAAATGTTCCATAACCTGCCGGATGTCACATGGTGACTAATGGGGTCTGAGACTCAGGGCTCTTAACCTGGACACCACATTGCAGGTGGATGGGCAAGTGTGGGCCGGGGGCCACCTGCTTCCTCTGCAATGCACGGCGCCCAGCCGAGAGCTGGACCGGCTCATCCCCCTCCCATGGAACCGTCGGCCCGGTCCCTCCCCAGAGAGCACCCACCTTCCACTTCAAGGCAGCAACTTCATAAATATCATGAAAGTCCTTCAGGCTGTCATAAGCAACAAGAAAGGGCAAAAAAAAAAAATCAGGGCACGTTCCCACGGAGCTTCAGTGGTTCTCACACCCGCCTGCCTGTGGTCACCTTCGAGAGGTGGAGGGGGTGACATGTGGGACTCCCAGCCCGCTGGGGCCCAGGGGACGGGTACCTGCTGGCTTTTCATCTCCTCCTTCCCCCAGACTATTGATACTTCATCCACTCAGTCTTCACTGACTACCACCAGCTTGCGTCCCCCAGAGAGCCAGCCCCCAAATGACCACCACTGTCAGACAGACAAGGGCGGAGCATCCTTTAGCAGAGGACTACCTAGAACAACAGGGGCTGAGAGGTCAGCTCAGACTGAGCTCTCTCACCCTCGTCTCTACAGCACGGCTGTTGCTTCTCAAATCGAACAGAAAAGGGTTTTGGTCATCAGCAGTCAGAAGACCAAGACTGACCAGAGAGAGGTCGGGGCCTGTTCTCTGAGGCTGTGCCAGAGCTGTGAGTCTGTGTGTGTTGTTCACGTTGCTCTATAGATCTGTTCACATCAACTACCCCAGCTTGCTCAAGGCTCGAGGGTGAGCAGCTGGGCCAGTCCATTTCATGAGCCAGTACATTCCTTTCTTGTTGTGAATTTATACTGGACGTGGGTTGGACTTTGTCATTTGTAAAAAGAATCCTGAGCAATAGGTCTATGTACATAAAAAGCTCTGCAAAGAAAACGAAGTCTCTAAGAGCATCTTTGCCCACCCATCCACCCCAGGGCCTCTTATCAACGCCTCCTTTGGCTATTCTGCACCCACGTGGCATCCTCTCACCTGAGCAGTGGCGTGTTGCTCTGATTCAGGGCCTTGAACGTGAGATAGCGCTCCCCCGCGCTCATCCGGGGCTTGTAGAAGCGCATCAGGCCTTCGAACTGCCTGTAGGAGATGCCGGCGGACCTCTGGGGAGAGAGGGAAGATGGCCACATGGAACACGGGAAAACTCAGAGTCCAGCTGCCCCTTCCCTTGGGGGGAGCCATGCCCGATGTCCCACATCACGTGGGGTCCCAGGGCGCCCTGCTCTCTCTCGTTCTCCCAAGGGCAGGACCCCTGGTTTCTGAAGCTGCTGGCCCTTCTACACTTAGGAGATATTGGGGGGTGCGGTGAAGGTGGGGGGGAAGGGCAGGAGAACAAGGACCAACCCCCCTCCCTGGCTCAGCCCCCAGCACCCCTACCTGCTGGCTGACGAGCAGGCGGTAGGCGTGCTGGATGGCAGTTCGCTTGTGTAGCAGCAAAGACTTGAACTTGCGTTTCTCGACGTCATTGAAGGTGTCAAATACCACAGCCAGGAGCTGAGAGGGAAGACCAGAGACCCGGTGCCCATGCCGACTGGGCCTCAGGGAGGGAGTTCCTGAGGGAACAGTTCCCCAGCCTCCAGAGGGCGCTCCTCCAGCCACCCCAGAAACGGGTCGAGAAGAGCCTCTCCCCGGGCCAGGTGGTGTAGGAAGTTCATCTCCAAGTCTTAGGAGAGGAAGGTCATTCGTTGCCGCTTATAAATATCCCCTCTACAGATTCGTGAAAACACTATTACATTTTCCCACGGTTTTTCTTCTCTGCCTGTGGCTAATCCCTGCCTGGGCAGTTTTATAAGGGGAGAGAAGCGGTGAGGGGAACACGCTGGGGCCTTTGCCCCATTTAGCTCTGTGTGATGGCCAGGGAGGCTGTGTGTCCATCCTATGCCCTCCCAACCTCAGAGCAGGGAGGGACATTGCTGTCCCTTCCTCCCCTGTCCCCATGTGGCCCCCATAAATGAGGGATGAGAGGTGGGCCTGCACCCAAGGGCACAAGGTTCTGGAATTGCCCAGTTCCAAAGTCAGCGTGTGAACAACACAGCCTGTGTTATCAGAGGGTGATGGGAGGGCGGGAGCAGAATTTGAAAGAAGACTTTTTGGAGGACACTTTCTTCCAAAAATATTTTGAGGGGGACTCTCTTTCCCTCTCTATCCCTTCAAACTGCCCCCCCAACATTTCCCTTTAGATAAGGGAGTCAGCAAACTTTTTCTGTAAAGGGCCAGAGAGCAAATATGTTAGGCTCTGTAGGCAAGATGGTCTCTGTAGAAATCACTCAACCCTGCAGGTGTAGCATGAAAGCAGTCAGGCTATATACAAATGAATGGGCATGGCCATGTGCAATAAAACTCTATTGACAAAAACAGGTGGTAGGCCAGGTTTGGGCCCCAGTGGTTGACTCATACCCGTATTTTCACAGTTCAAAATACCTGTTAAAGTAAATAATTACACATAACGATATTTTTAGGATTCTAAACTAACAACAGTATAAAAGAACTCTAAGATGTACAAACAGATATCCAACATACTTATTTTGGGTCTTGAGAAATTAAAAAAAAGAAAATATTTTCCTGCTTAAGACATCACATTTTAAGGCAGGGATGGAAGCCTGGTGGGCTGCCGTCTATGGGGTCGCACAGAGTTGGGCACGACTGATGTGACTTAGCAGCAGCAGCACAAGTCTACCCCCAGAGAAATTGTTTTCCATTTCTATACCAGGGTCTGACTGTGGTGACTGGTGTGGGGACACTCATCAGAAGTATAAAAATAAATGCAAGACTTGGTAAGTCCTCTTCCTTATAATTCTGGCATTCATGTGGTCTCAGCTCCAGCCTGATGGTATGGTCTGGGAGGAGGCGATCTGCTGATGGCAGGAACACTCCTGGTGGCCAGTTGAGCCTTCAAAGTTCCCAGTGTGCATGGGGACTGCACATTGTCCTTAAAGGAATGTGTTCTGTATTGGGTTTCCCAGGGGTTCATAATAAACAGGGTAGAAATATACAGGACATTCCTGGCATGTGGGTGCAGTGGGATGGGGTGGTTAAGAGCAGGGCTCTGGAATCAGACCAGTTCATCTGGCCACCTGAATTGTGCAAGCAAGGGTGACTCACCCTATTGGTCTGATCCTCAGTTTCCTCAACTATAAATTGAGAATCATACTAAGACATCTAGGGTTTGAGTGTTAAATTATTGAACCCCTATCCATAAAGCACTTGGCATAGTACCTGACTAAGGCTTCATAAGTGTCAGCTTTTCCAGTTATTATCTGTTTGCCATGAGAAGGAAAAGGTTCCAGGGTAGTTTTGGTTTAAAATCCAGCTCTGGGACTTCCTTCGTGGTCCAGTGGTTAAGTGGTTAATCCTATGCTCCTAACACAGAGGGGCCCGGGTTTGATCCCTGATTAGGAAACTAGATCCCGCATGCCACAACTAAAGATCTCACATGCCGAAATGAAGACCCACCCAATGCAGTCAAATAAATGAAAAAGTGAATGAACGAATGACAGGCTCTAGCATCGTCAGCAGCAGCAGTACTAACTCAAAGAGGCTAGTTACTGCTGGTAACCAGCTGAACTCAAGTCCTGACAGGGAATTCCTAGTCACACCACACCTGCCTAGGGTCTAGGACTTCCTTCCCCTATGTTCCGCCCTCGGAGGTGGATGGCCACCCCTACTTTATCCCCACAATGCCCAGCACAGCAACGGCTGGGGCTGGTCCACAGAACACAAGCCAAGGCCACTCACCAGGTTCATGATAAAGTACAGCTCGATGGAAAGGTACACGATGAAGAAGACGCAGGACCAGGGGTTCTGGGAGTAGGAGGGCATCATCACATCTGGGAAGCTGTATTTGCAGAGTATTACCTGCAAGGTCCATGTCTGCCAGTCTCTGCTTTCTCTAAGGACGTCCCTCTTTCTGCCTTCCCAGCCCCCTCCGCCCTCCCCCACTCTCAGCTCACCAGGCCATTCCCATCCCTCATGGTAGCCCTGAGCACCTGTATGAGCCAAGACGTAGAACACCCTTGGCTGAAAAGAGGAAAGAAACCTGGGCACTACCAGAGGGCAGGCAGAAGCCAAAGCAGAGCCCAAACTTACTTGGCGGTGGTCAGAAGGACAAACAGACTGATGATGCTGTTCTCCAGGGTGCTGAAGTACTGTGGAGACAGGAGGGCCAGAGGACACGTGGGTGCCAGGCCGAGGGCACACACCACCGGGAACAGGCTGTGTGCAGTGGGTCACGTCCAGAGCCCTGTCCTCCCCCACCCCACTCCTCCCGCGGCATCCCTTAAGGATGGCAGAGGAACAAGCAAACTCGGAGTCCAAGGCCTCCTCTTTCCTGAGCTCAATGCTTCTGGCAGAAGCAGACACCTGGCCTCGAGACTTGTCTCCCAGAGAATCACATGTTTTGCACAATGAGCTGGGCTCTCTTCTACCACTCCTCTGCCAAAATGTTTCAGTGTTCCAGATCTGATCCTGGAAACACCCCTCTCAATGAGAGGACAGGGAATCTCCTTGGCGCTCGAAGAAGGAAATGAACGTTCAGGTGCCATAAGCGATGATGAGAAACCAAGCAGGGCATCCCTTCCTAATACGGCTGGTGGGGGGAAGGTCCGTCCAGCCACCTGGCCCGAAGTGAAAAGGCCCCACATACAGGAAGACACAGACAAACGTGTTGTTTACTTACGGGGTCTGAAGGATTAGGGGAGAATAAGTAGAAACCTAGAAGGTGGTGGGAAACATAGGTTAGAGCAGAAGTCCCAAACCGGGATGTCAAGAGGACTGGACAAATACTGATAAATGTAAATGAGTGCAGTGGGCAGAGGGAAAGTGTAGCGAGTAGTGGGGACCACGGCAGAACACAGCACATGCTCTGGCCGAAGGCACCAGGTAACTGCTGCCATTCGGGAACGTGATCCGAGCACCACTGAAGCTATTATTAAAAAAGGCCAGCTGAGGACCTTCCTGGTGGTCCAGCAGTTAGGACTCTGTGCTTCCACTGCAGGGGGCTGGGGTTTGATCCCTGGTCAGGGAACTAAGATCCTATGTGCTGTATAGTGCAGCCAAAAAACACAGAGGCTGGATGCACAACACAGGGACTCTAGTTAATGATACCGTTATTGTGTGTTTAAAGTTGCTAGGAGAGCAGATCTTCTCATTAGACGGGGAAAAATAAACTATAAGTATGTATATAAAGATGATGTTGTTAACCTTATTATGGGGATCATTCTGCAGTATGTACATAAGTCATTATGCTGTACACCTAAAACTAATACACTGCTATGTCAATTACATGTCAATTTTTTTAAAAAACGAAAGTTTAAAAAAATTTAAGATTTTAAGGCTGGAAATCTGTATTTTCATGTTAAAAAATCTAGTTTTAAAAATGCTGGCTCAAGGGACTTCCCTGGTGGCTAAGACTCAGCTCCCAATGCAGGGGACCAGGTTGGATCTCTGGTCAGGGAACAAGATCACAAATGCTGCAACTAAGACTTGGAGCAGCCAAATAAATAAATATTTTAAAATAAATATTAAATAAAAATTAAAATTAGCTTTTTTTTTTTAAAAAAGACCTCACCTGCCAGTGGAAGGGGTGCAGGTTCAATCCCGTCAGGCAGCTAAGATCCCACTTATCTTGTGCCCAAAAAACCAAAAAAATGTAAACAGAAGCAATGTTGTAACAAATTTAATAAAGACTTTAAAAAATGGTCCACATCAGAAAAATCTTATAAAAATAAAACATAAAATGCTGGCTCAACACTTTCAGACCAAACAAAACTCATCTGTAGGCTGGGTCTGGAACCCAGACTGCTGGTTTGCAATCTTTGGTTTTGAGATCATGACAGCCAGGTAACAACTTCAAAGGGACCCCACTGTTCTCCTGCAGCTGAGGGTCCAAGGTGGGGGCACCATTAATTTCCTCTCTCTTGGAATGGGCTATTCCCCTGAGTCCTTGAAATCCTGAAACTCTGCCCCAAAGGGAAGTCAGCCCCTTGGAATACCAAGGAAATTCTATCCAGAGTGGTGTGGGGTAGGAGGGAGTCAATGGCTCGGGGAACAGAGTGTCACAAGGGCCCGGGGGTTTCAGCACTGGCGGGGGCCTTAGAGTCACCGCCCTCTGGTTCCACTGTCTCTGCCATCTGAGCACCAGGGAAGGGACCTTGGGCTTCCCTGCCGTGTCCTGAGACCTCCACTGTCTAAAGTCCGTGTCTGAATGTGGGAGCCGCATCAATACTTGATCTTATCTGAAGAGGCAAGGCCTCCTCCACTGTTTTAAAGGGCGTGACCTTGCTTTAACACCTAGTGAAGCTGAACTATGTCAACCCTAAGGTCCCAGGCATATGCTGTAGAGAAACTCCCGTGAGGGCACACCAGGAAAGGCAGGAGAATGTTCACATCAATGTGATCTGCGATAGAGGAAAATGCCCACCAACGGAGGAAGTGATAAATAAACGTGGGTATATTCACGTATTGGATCATGACACTGCAGTGAAAACGAATGGCTTGCACTGCCATGCATCAGTGTGAATAAAGGCCGGGGACACCCCCTGGGAGCAAAAGGGAACTCAGATCAAGAAAGGTTACAAAGGTGGCTTCTATTTTTTTTTCCCCCCCAATACCGCATTTCCTAAGCTGGAGCCCACAAGTGTTTCTATCGTTCTGAAAACCTTCCTGAATTTCTAAAACCATCAAAGTGCCTTTTTTCTCAATGATAAGTTTGCTTTTACAGAGTGCCTGTGTACTGGAGCTCAGGAAAAAACTCACCGAGGATGGCGAAAATGATCATGAAGAAGAGGAGAAGCATGAGGATATCCATGAAGGGTGGCAGGGACTGAAACATCTGACGCAGGTTTCTGGGGAGAGAGACAGGGCCAGGAGGGGTGAGGGGCGGTGGGTGGCGGGCTGGGGCCCAGGGGGCATGGTCTGGGGCTCCTCAGTGCGGGCGGCCTTTGTTGAGATGGGGGCCTGGTGCTCCCAAGCCCTGGAACACTAAATCCCGTTGCACCCTGGCTTGTGACGTCATGCTCAGTGATCTCCTAGGACTTCCACTCAGGGGGTGATGGGGAAAAAACCAGGGCAGGCGTGGTGCTTACTGAGCCCAAGCAGGCAAGTGCCTGCAAGGGATGGAGCAGGCAGGCCAAAGCCGGGTGCATGGCCTCGGGTGCCAAGGTCCGTCTGCATGGGATGTGGGAAGACATTTCAGGGCTACTCAGTCTGAGGACATGTGTCTCCAGTTTTGCGGACAGGGAACCAAGAGTGACTCCGTGGGCTCCCCCGGTGGCTCAGATGGTAAAGCGTCTGCCTGCAACGCAGGGGACCTGGATTCAATCCCTGGGTCTGGAAGATCCCCTAGAGAAGGAAATGGCAACCCACTCTAGGACTCTTGCCTGGAAAATTCCATGGATAGAGGAGCCGGGTAGACCATAGTCCATGGGATCTCAAAGACTCAGACATGACTGAGCAACCTCACCAAGAGTGAATGGCTAGCCCGCGCTCATTCACAGGACCCCAGCCAAGAGGTTTTCTAGATGGATTCTCAAAACTCAGTCCGGGGTTTCCCTGGTGGCTCAGTGGTGAAGAATCCACCTGCCAATGCAGGGGACACGGATTCGATCCCTGGTCTGGGAGATCCCACATGCCTTGGAGTAACTAAGTCTATGCACCACAACTACTGAGCCTGTGCTCTAGAGTTGGAGAGCCACAACTACTGAAGCCTGAGCACCTAGAGCCCATGTTCTGCAATGAGAAGCCACTGCAACGAGGAGCCCTCACACTGCAACTAGAGAAAAACCCGTGCAGCAGTGAAGACCCAGCACTGACAAAAAATCAACACTAGCATTAAAAAAACAAAACAAAACAAAAACTCAGCTTGATCTTAGGTCAACGGCCTGTTTTGAGTTCAGTCCCCCAGTCCCAGGGGAAGTGTCAGGACAGCCTGCTGAGTTGCGTGGACTTCACTGAGTTACTGCCGCAGGCTGTGTTTGGGCAGACACTGTGCCAGGAGCCCCAGAGGGGCACAGGTAATGATGGGAGAGCGCCCTGGACCCGGAGTACAGAGACCTGAACTGCAGTGGGAGGACCACCCTCCTCTCTGTAGGGGTCGAATGGCAGAGGGAAGTGATCAGGACTGTGCCCTAGCCAAGTGCAGGAGGGACCTTATCGCTAGGTGACTCTCTGCTGTTCCACCACAGACCCAGGGGGCCAGGCCGGGCCAGGCCGGGCCGGGCGAGTGCCTGAGTGAGCAGCTCCTCCCCAGGCCTTACCGCCGGACGCCGCCGCAGTACCGACAGTCCACCAGGAAGATGCAGCGCAGAGCCCGGGTCACCCGCATGTGCGATGTCTGCCGTACCAACACCACGATGGCCTCCACGAACTGCACCACCAGCACAGAGGTCTGGGGGAGGCCAGGCAAGGCGCACGTCAGCCCCTGTGCCCCAGGCCCTCCTGTACGCCCTGGCCAGAGGGCCAGCTAGATATTGGCCCCCCATCCCTCCCCACCCCCGAGAGGAGCCCGGAGAAGCCCTTCCCTCGTCCTCTCTCACTTTCCCCAACATCAGGCAGGCCCCAGGGAGACATCCACTGGTTGCTGACAGGATAACAAGCTCCAGGGCGATCAGTGCTCCCAGCAGCTCATCAGAGGGTACCCGCTGAACAAAACCACCACTCCGCAAGCCACAGCCACCCACCCTCTGGTTCCAGCTCTCCCTGCTCGCCCTGGGGTCTTCGGCATGTCCTGATCTCCAATTTCTTGGGCACATCCTCCCCATCAAGTGTGTGCACTTCTGACACTGCTAAATACCACTCTGACACATCCCAACTGATGCCTCTCTCTGCTACAGAGAAAGCGGACACATACAGCACTGACTGCCATGAGTGTGGAGGCCATGCCAGGCTGGTTTGGAATCCCAGCTCTCCAGGATTCAGATCCCATTCTCTTGCAACTGGCTGGAGGTAAATTAGGAATAGTTACACATTTCCCACAAAAGTCACCGTGCTGGTGCTTGGCCCGAACTAAATACCGGATCATGTTAGCTACTGTGAGTACCACCGTGACACTCAGAGCAAAGCTGGAAGCATGGTGAAGTCCGGGACCCAGAGTCACGCTTCGCAGTGCACGACTAGGCCCATGGGGGATTTGCAGTTGAACTGACGATACACGCTTGACGTTGACAAGGAAATGATGGAGAAAGATGGACACATCACCTTGACCATGGTCCTTCTGTGCCGGATGAAGGTGTGAAGGCCCAGCCACCGCAACTTCATGCAGAGTTCAAACACGACCACCACTAGGGCGAACAGCTCCAGGGTTGCGTGGACCTGCAGCCACAGGGCGTGAAGGAGATGCAGCGTCATCAGCCACTCCCCAGTCGGAGAAGTGAGCACACCTGCTGGCTTTTCTTTGGAGACAGTGGGCGGGACTGCTGATCAGGTATGCTTTTCACCTGGAGCCAAAGCGTGGCCACGGGTCCTAAGTGAGGCAGTTCGAGGGCGTCCCCCGCCCCTCCTTGGAAGTTACAAGGGAACGGAATCCCAGGGAGACTGGGGGTGGTGCATTCCCTTGGGCGGGGACCCCAGGCAAGACTGGTGAGCCAGCTACTCCCGGGGCCTCCCCGTTTGAAATCCGTGGGGTGTCTCCCCTTCCAGAATGTTCCCTCTCAGCCTTGAGTTACTGTGCACCCCCTCCACCCCCGACACCCCCAGAGAGCCGCAGCTCGCGGCCCCGGGACACTCACGTAAATGCCCAGCCGGAGCGCGGGGACGGCGGGAGCCTCGCACAAGGAGAGCAGCAGCAGGAGCAAGGCCGCGGACAGCTCCATCAGGTAGAAGAGGTGGTTGTGTGCGAAGAGGTAGGCCGCCAGCGCTTTGGCGTTCTTGGGGTGGGTGAAGAACTTGTCGTTATTCTCGCCTTCCTGAAAGAGCAAGAGTCGCGGTGGTGCGTGCGCCCGCGCAAAGCAGGGCGCCTGGGACGCAAAAGCGGCCTGGGATGTGGGATGTGCGGTGGGCGGGGGGAAAGGGGCGGGCCCTTGGCAGGTGGGTGGAGCTTCCGGCCAGAAAGGATGGACAATTAAGTATTATCTTCACAGCTTAGCACACCCCACAGGTCTCACCCTTGCCGCTGATGGGGCTCCAAAGACTTGCTTCTTTCCAAAACTACTCCGAGGAATCAAGGGATAAAACGCCCAAGAGATCAAAGGGAAGCGGGCGCATCTGGTCCCTTCTGAGACCAAAGTCTCCCTCTCAGGTGTGGGAGGCTAAGTGCTCGGGGTCTGGGGTAAACTAGCCAGGACTGTGTCCTGGCTCCGCCCCCTTCTCCCTGGGTAACAGGGAAACTTCTTTCACCTTTACAACCATCCGTGGGTTACAGACCGTAGTTACTCCCAGGGCTCTTAGGGCAGCGTCTGGCACACGGAAAGCTCCCTGAAGAGGTGACCTGTTATTATTTGCTTTAAGCTAGTAACATTGAGGGCAAAGCTTGAGGGTCCCTTTATCAGAATCCTGCTTTACGCAGCTTTCCCCATCCCATTTATCTTTTTAAACAGTTTTTGGATGTGGGACCATTTTTAAAGTTTTTGTTGAATTTGTTACAATATTGCTTCTGTTTTATGTGGGTTGTTGTTGTTGTTTTTGCTTTTTGACCATGAGGCATATGGGATCTTGGCTTCCCAGGTAGGGATGGAATCTGCACCCCCTCATTGGAAGGCAAAGTCTTCTTAACTACTGGACCAACAGGGAAGTCCCCCCACTTCTTAACTGACTCTATTTCCACCTAACTTTCTAACCCCTTGATGCTTTCACCCCAACAGTAATGAGACAGTGGCTTACCCCCCACTGAGTGCCCTCCACTAAGCCCCAACACTCCTTTCAGTCCTGACAACTTGCCTTCCAGGCAAGTGCTTCTATTTCTTCTCACTTGACAGCAATGACAGGGAACTTCTGTAGCACCCAAGCCCATAGAGCCAGGCAGCCTGATTCCAGCAGCCTTGTTCTATCTACTCTTGGCCTCCTGCTGATGGTGCAGAAAACAAATGATGGAGCCCTTGAGAATATAAGCCAATGACCCTCCCTGTTAGGATCGGCCTTCTGGGGGAGGTAGGGGATCTTCACTGCCTCCCTGGGGTTGGTGGGTACAGGCCAAAGTAAGAGAGGTCCCACCTCATCAACTTCATCACCTCGGTACCCCATCCAACAGCCTACACATAGACAGCATTTACTTTCCACACATCGCCTTGCTTCAGTGCTTCTCAACTGGGGGCAGTGTTGACCACCTGCCCTCCCTTGACTCCACCCCAGGGCTGGAGACATGTGTAGTTATCACACCTGGGGGATGTTGCTGGTATCCAGAGGGTCAATTCCAGGGATGCTGCTAAACCTGCTAAAATGCACAGGGCAGCTCCTTACAACAAAGAATTAACTGGTCCCAAACACCAATGCTTCTGAGTCAGGAGAACCTGTCTTGTTCATTCTCAGCACAGACACTCAGAATAGAGGCTCTTGCCCTTGGCTCCAATCTCTAGAGGAGAAAAGGGTCAGAGCCCCAGAAGGGACACCCCTTTCCAAAAGCATTCCGGGTATTCTGGAATGCAGGCAGACCTTCAACTATTCCAATATTTGGCCCTTCTGGGATAAGGCCACATGCAACCATCCTCATAAACCCTTATTCCGGCAAAAGTGAAACTAACACACGTGCCTGGTGATTCACGCAGAAGTTGCAAAGCTTGCAAAGCCAGGCTAACAGGAAGAAGTGTCTCTGGGCCAGGTGGCACATGGTGCCATGGAAGGAGCTTTGGGTAGCAGGCTCCTATGCTAGCCGGAGGTGGCTTCAGCTCACCAAGCTTGTCACAGAGAACTGGGAGAGCAAGAGACATAGTCAAGACCTCAGTTGGCACAGTGCCTGGTGCATATAGTGGGCGTTTAATAGATGTTTGGTAAGATGAAGCATTTCTGCAAGAGATCACTCTCCAAGCGCCTGCCGGGCCCGAGGACTCTCTAGTAGCTGGGAGGCGGCTGGGAGCTCTGACCTTGGCTGTGGTTTGCAACGGAACTTCAAGCGAGTCACTTCCCTGAAGCCGGATACATCACTATCCTCATGATCAAAAAAAAATAAATAAAAGGCAAACCACAGACTGGACAGGGCAGGGAACAAACATCATGGAAGTCACACGGAGGGCAAGCTGGGCAAGACTCGCTCCCCGCCCTGTGATCTGTGCCGGGCTGTGGTTTTCACCTCCACCGCCTTGGCCACAGGGGTCACACATGGTTGCCTGGGAAGCTTCTGGCTTGGACTTTTAGAAAATGCAATTCTCGGGTAATTTCTTCCAACAAGTAGCCAGGGATGAAGGTCTGGCAAGAGGAAACCACTGACATGGAGCCCTCAGATCTGACCTCGGGGACTTGGAATTGCCTCAGGGGAGATGGAAGATGAGGCCTCCCCCAGCAAGGACGGAGTGAAATAGGATCTGAGTCTCTATCCTGACCCAGATGCTAAGGCTTCCCAGGTGGTGCAGTGGTAAAGAATCCACCCGCCAACGTCGGAGACACAAAAAATGTGGGTTTTGACCCCTGGGTTGGGAAGATCCCCTGGAGGAGGAAATGGCAACCCATTCCAGTATTCTTGCCTGAAAAATCCCAAGGACAGAGGAGCCTGGTGGGCTACAGTCCATGGGGTCGCAAAGAGTCAGACACGACTGAGCACGCACGCACTAAAGAGAACACTGGCCTTATTTCCTAGCTGCTGATCACGAACTAGGAAAGTCATGATTAGGAAAAATAAGAAGGCAGGCTGGTTGTACATGACTTCCAGGCCTTTAATCTCTGCTCCCTGGGGCAGAGGTCCACCCAGAAAACTAGGAGGGTCTTAGAGGCAACAGGAGCTCCGAGCACACGGCTCCTGTGGGTGAGTGAGTTAACAGGCAAAATTTAGGAAGAGGGGAAACCGCAGGCACCAGATAGCCTCAAAGCAGTGAGGGGCCAGTTATCCAGGCACATCCACAGCCTGGCTCAGGGGCTGTGCTGCAGCCCATCCATGAGTGCGAAAATAGCTCTTGGACACCTGCTAACACCACCCTCCACAGCCAGAAACTACTGTCCATGGGGATTCAAGTTCTGCTTTTAGTTTTAATTTTACAAGAGGATGGATCTTTTTTTGTAAAAAAAAAAAAAAAATTCAAGTAATACACAAAATTATAAGGTAGTAAAAATTCCATCAGCCAAAAATAATCACCTTTAATATTCTGACAAATAACTTTCCAGATATGAATGGGTATCTGTGCATACATAGACACATATTATATAAATTATATATAACTTATGTATTAAACGTCACCATATGATACCTTGTGTTCTGTAACCTCTTTTCCCCCAAAGACATGGCCCATTTTCGAGTGAATACATGGGGTCAGGTACAGAAACGTGGCCACCACGTAGAGAAGAAAGAACATCATCTGGAGGCTGGAATGGACACGGTTTAAATCCAAGCTTGGCAGTTTACTAGCTGGCTGGCTTTGGACTCACTAGCCCCTGGGAATCTCAGGTATATGAACCGGAAGATGACCAAACTGCTTGGTTAAGGTTGTTAGAAAGATCAGTAAGCACGTACTTAACTTAGTCTTTCTTCGGTATATAGATACATTTGTATTATTTTTTAGATTCCACTTAGAAGTTGTATAATATTTCTCTTTCACTAGCTGACTGACTTAGTATCATATTCTCTAGGTCTATCCACATTATGGCACATGGCAATAGTTCATTCTTTATTGTGGCTAAGTAACATTCCACTGCTCGTGCGTGCGTGTGTGTGCGTGTGTGTGCGTGTGTGTGCGTGTGTGTGTGTGCGTGTGTGTGCGTGCGTGTGTGTGTGTGCGTGTGTGTGCGTGCGTGTGTGTGCGTGCGTGTGTGTGCGTGCGTGTGCGTGTGTGTGTGTGTGTGTGCGTGTGTGTGCGTGTGTGCGTGTGTGCGTGTGTGTGCGTGTGTGTGCGTGCGTGTGTGTGCGTGCGTGTGTGTGTGTGTGTGTGCGTGTGTGTGTGTGACGCCACATCTTCTTAAATCCACTGTCTGTTGAGGGGCACTTGGTCCTTGGGTTGTCTCCATGCCTTGGCTATTGTAAACAGTGCTACGATAGACACTGAGATGCACATATCTTTTTGAATTAGAGGGCTTTTTCTTTCCAAATATATATCCTGGAGTGGGATTGCTGGATCATACAGTAGCTCTATTTTTAGTTTTTTAAGACACTTAGATACTGTTTTCCTTAATGTCTGTACCAGTTTACATTCCCACCAACAGTGTAGGAGAGTTCCCTTTCCTCCACACCCTCTCCAGCATTTATTATTTGATGATAGCCATTTTTATTACTAATGTTCTCACCTGCTTAAGGAAAGAAGGAATTACCAAGCAATGATTCTAATCCTGTATTCTGATCCATCCTGGCCTCTTATCTAGCACCTGTTCAACCTTAGAGAGGGTGACAGTGTACAGGGTGATCCTGCCGCGTCAACAGGCATGCCCACGCTTGCTAAAATCTCCCTAAAACAGTTCTACTTAACCTGAATCAAAACCCATTCCTTGAGGAGTACAGCCATAAAACGTGAGAAACACACAGACACCTGAACAGCTTTCAAATAAGTATCTGAATTTCATTAAATTTTCTTTTAAAATAGCAAATAATTACAAGGGAGAGCTACTTCAAAGAAGAAAAAGATTAGGGGAAAGTGATCATTCAAGTGAACTTAAGAAAAATCCCATTTCCTCACCCAAACCCTTACTCAATGCTGAAATTTCAGCAGAAGCTGAAATCTTATGACAAAAATGACAAGATTAAGGTGAAACTACCATAGATAGCGAGATTAGCAGTTAACAGGCAATATTCCCTTTGGAGAGTATTCAATACTATATACCAAGGGCCCTAAATGTTGATTTCTTCAACCCACTGATTCTACTTCTTGGAGTGTTTCCTAATAAAATAATCCTTGATATTAAAGAGAAAAAGAGAGAAATAGCTGAAGACATAGATTGTCCTCATATTATAATTTATAACAGGGAAATGCATAATATACAGTAAGGGAAACATAAAAAGAGAAAATATCCAAACTTATCAGGATAGTTAAATAAATTAAGATAGACTTACCAGACAGAATTATAAAGACTTTAAAATTTGTTTAAAAACAAAAACCAAGCATGGAATAGCAAATATGAAAAGCAGCAGCAGGATAAACAGGAAGGAATAAACATCTCCGGACTCCTCACACTAAGTCAGCTGGATTCAGCAGATAAAAGAAGAATGCCCTCCTGAGAACCAGCCTCTCCAGAAGAGGGAGCAGGGCAGGGGGAGGCCAAATGGACAGACTCGGGGAACCTGGGGGCAGGCAGGGCCACACACTGGGGGTCCTGGGAACAAGCCTACGGGCACAGTCAGGTCGGCTCTCCCGGCCTGATCTTATGAAATGAGAAGCTCACACACGGAGCACTGAAGCCAGAACTGGATTTCTGGGCATGCATCCAACAGAGCCTGGCTCCCTATATCCACCAACACATGGCAAGAAGGGCCAGGTGCTGCCCGGGAGAGACTCACCTGGAGGTAGATTGCTGCCTCTTGATAAATCATCTCCCAGTCATGTCCGGTGGGGCTGGAGGGGGAGTTTTCGCCCTTTAAGCTCAGACTGGGGGCCTGGGAGTCGTGGACGGTATATTTGCCTCCAACTGCAAGAGGAGATTCACTTACAACCCAGGTTTGAGAGAATAAAAAGACACCATTCACCAGAGAGAAGGCTGGCAGTCACGCACATGCTCTCACTCATATCCTATTATATAAGTCACTACCATCTTGTATACACTTGGGCTTCCTGGTGGCTCAGGCAGTAAAAAATCCACCTGCAATGCAAGGGACCTGAGGTCGATCCCTGGGTTGTGAAGATCCTCTGGAGAAGGGCATGGCAACCGACTCCAGTATTTTTGCCTTGAGAATTCCCATGGTCAGAGGAGCCTGGTGGGCTACAGTCCATGGGGTCCCAAAGAGTCAGACATGACGGAGCAGCTAAGCACACATAAGTCTACATATGATCCCATGTATTAGGTTGGCTGAAAAGGTCGTTTGGGTAACATATTTTGGCAAAAACCAAATGACCTTTTTGGCCAACCCAATACTAATGACAGCAAGAATAGTATGTCTAGCAAAAATGTTTTTCTGACATGGATGGATCTTGAGGGTATTATGCTGATGTGGAATCTTAAAACTAAAACAAACCAGTGAATACAACAACAAAAACAGACTCACAGTTAAAGAGAACAAACCAGTGGTTTCTTTGGGGAGAGGGAAGGGGGAGGGGCAAGATGGGGGAGGGGATTAAGAGGCACAAACTACTATGTATAAAATAAATAAACTACAAGGATATATTGTGCAGCAAAGGAATATTTTATAACTATAAAAGGAGAATAACCTTTAAAAATTGTGAATCACTACATTATATACCTGAAACATAGAATGTTGTATATCAACCATACCTCAGTTAAATTTTTCTTTCTCCTGTTAGGTGAAAAAAGCAAGTATAAAAAAGCATACATCCAGTGCTATCGTTTGTGTAAATAAGGGAAAAAAAACAAGAAAGCACAGAGATATCTACTTATCTTAATGGAAGAAATAGGAAGAGGAAATTAGAACTTGATGAAATTGATCACCTACAATGGATGGAGAGAACAGGGTAGAAGTCACTCAGAGGGAGTGATCTTTTTGATGACTTTTGACTTGTGGAAGCATGTTAATATACTACCTTGTCAGAAAAATAAGAATAACTGGATTTGTTCCCTGGTGCAGGGTCATCCGTGGCTCTTCCCTGCTGAGACCCATGCCCTTTTCTTCTGGTAACTCAGTCCTGTCTGTCTTTGAAGAGTGTCCACTCCCTACTTTCTGTCCTTATTCTTCAGCTCTGGCCAACTCCACCCCTGGCAGCTGATCCAGTGCAATGAGATCCCGACCCCACCGCACCTCCGCCCCCAGTCCCACCCCAGACAGGTATGGTTCAGCCAGTGGTGCTGACCGAAGTCTAGCCAACGAGGGTGAGCCTAGAACTTCTCCAGGACCAGTTTAGAAAGGGGTGTGTGTGTCTGTGTGTGTGTGTGTAGGGATTGGGGAGCTCTTTCCCTATTGTTGCTGGAGGCTGCCTCTGCCACCAAGTGGGGAAGACATGCCTGAGTTACACCCCTGGGATCGAGCTGTGCCTGACATTTACCTCAGAGCGTTTCCAAACTCTGAGCCCACAAAGACCCTTTTATACCTAAGCCTATTTGAGTTGGGCTCGTCACAGCGCTCAAGTATGTCCGCTGATACATGCCATGGCGTCGACAAACAAGTCTCAGCTTTTTATTTTTTTAAGGTTTTTTTTTTTTTTTTTTTTTTTTTTTACTGTTTATTTATTTGGCTGAGATGGGTCTTAGTTGTGGCACTTGGGATTTTTAGTTGTGCCATGTGGGATCTAGTTCCCCAACCAGGGATGGAACCTGGGCCCCCTGCATTGGGAGTGAGGAGTCTTAGCCACTGGACCACCAGGGAAGTCCCATGGACGGACATTTAGACCATTGCCAATGTTTGGCTATTTCAAATGAAGCTGTTATGAACATTCATGTACAGGGCTTGGTATGGATGTAGGTGTTAATTTCTTGGGGGTAAATTCCAAGGGGTGAAATAGCTAGATCACCCATTTAACTTTTCACAAAACTACCAAACTGTTTTCCAAAGTGATTGTACCATTTACACTCCCACTCTCAGTAAATGAGAGTTCTAGGCCTTCCACTTCTGCATCACCAATTGATAAGCTCACTGCTTTAAGTCTTAACTATCCTAAAATATTGTGATGTTACTGCATTGTTTTAATTCCAATGCTTTTAATTTGCATTTCCCCAGAGATTAATAATGCTGAGCATCTTTGCATATGCTTAGTTGCCATTTGCACAACTTAATTGAAGTGTCTCCAACTCTTACCTGTTTATTATGTTATTTTCTTCTTTTTTTAAATTTTGAGTCACATATATGCATATATATATAATGCAGTCTATAAATATACAAATCTTTGTCTTTGATTATAATATCTACTCCAGTTTTGATTATTTCCTTGGATTACTGATTATTGTAGCTTTTTCCATTCTTTTAATCTCTTTGTGTCTTTTTATTTAAACTTTGTTTCCTGTAGGCAGATAGAGTTTGGTCTTGCTTCTTTCCTCCAGCTTGAAAAACTCTGCCTTTTAATTGGAGTATTTTGATTATTTACATTTAATGTAATTACTAATATGGTTAGGCATAAATATATCATCTTGCAGTTACTGCATATTTGTCCCACCTGTTCTTTGTTCTCCTGCCTTTCTCCTCCAAGATACTTCAATTAAGTACCTTCCTGAGGTCATGCAGTCAGTGAGAAGCAGGGCTTGGATACCAAACTAGGCTGGTTAGCTCCTAATTGGTAGGTTGCAGACACAGTGACTGATGAACTATGGATGGAGGTTCGTGACATTGTACAAAGGAGAAAGGGAAAGATATACCCACTTGAATGCAGAGTTCCAAAGAAGAGCAGGGAGAGACAAGAAAGCCTTCCTCAGCAATCAGTGCAAAGAAATAGAGGAAAACAACAGAATGGGAAAGAGTAGAGATCTCTTCAAGAAAATTAGAGATACCAAGGGAACATTTCATGCAAAGATGGGCTCAATAAAGCACAGAAATGGTAGGGACCTAACAGAAGCAGACGGAGAAGGCAATGGCACCCCACTCCAGTTCTCTTGCCTGGAAAATCCCATGGATGGAGGAACCTGGTCGGCTGCAGTCCATGAGGTCGATAAGAGTCAAACATGACTGAGCGACTTCACTTTCAGATTTCACTTTCATGCGCTGGAGAAGGAAATGGCAGCCCACTCCAGTGTTCTTGCCTGGAGAATCCCAGGGATGGGGGAGCCTGGTGGGCTGCTGTCTATGGGGTCGCACAGAGTCGGACACGACTGAAGTGACTTAGCAGCAGCAACAGAAGCAGAAGAAATTAAGAAGAGGTGGCAAGAATACACAGAAGAACTGTACCAAAAAGATCTTCATGACTCAGATAATCATGATGGTATGATCACTCACCTAGAGCCAGACATCCTGGAATGTGAAGTCAAGTGGGCCTTAGGAAGCATCCCTACAAAGCTAGTGGAGGTGATGGAATTCCAGTTGAGCTATTTCAAATCCTGAAAGATGACGCTGTGAAAGTGCTGCACTCAATATGCCAGCAAATTTGGAAAACTCAGCAGTGGCCACAGGACTGGAAAAGTCACTTTTCATTCCAACCCCAAAGAAAGGCAATGCCAAAGAATGCTCAAACTACCGCACAATTGTACTCATCTCACATGCTAGTAAAGTAATGCTCAAAATTCTCCAAGCCAGGCTTCAGCAATACGTGAACCATGAACTTCAGAACTGTGAACTGTTCAAACTGGTTTTAGAAAAGGCAGAGGAACCAGAGATCAAACTGCCAACATCCGCTGGATCATTGAAAAAGCAAGAGAGTTCCAGAAAAACATCTATTTCAGCTTTATTGACTATGCCAAAGCCTTTGACTGTGTGGATCACAACAAACTGTGGAAAATTCTGAAAGAGATGGGAATAACAGACCACCTGACCTGCCTCTTGAGAAACCTGTATGCAGGTCAGGAAGCAACAGTTAGAACTGGACATGGAACAATAGACTGGTACCAAATAGGAAAAGGAGTACGTCAAGGATGTATATTGTCACCCTGCTTATTTAACTTCTGTGCAGAGTACATCATGAGAAACGCTGGGCTGGAGGAAACACAAGCTGGAATCAAGATTGCTGGGAGAAATATCAATAACCTCAGATATGCAGATGACACCACCCTTATGGCAGAAAGTGGAGAAGAACTAAAGAGCCTCTTGATGAAAGTGAAAGAGGAGAGTGAAAAAGTTGGCTTAAAACTCAACATTCAGAAAACTAAGATCATGGCATCTGGTCCCATCACTTCATGGCAAATAGATGAGGAAACAGTGGAAACAGTGGCTGACTTTATTTTTCTGGGCTCCAAAATCACTGCAGATGGTGATTGCAGCCATGAAATTAAAAGACACTTACTCCTTGGCAGGAAAGTTATGACCAACCTAGACAGCATATTAAAAAGCAGAGACATTATTTTGCCAACAAAGGCCTGTCTAGTCAAGGCTATGGTTTTTCCAGTGGTCATGTATGGATGTGAGAGTTGGACTATAAAGAAAGCTGGAAAAAAAAAAAAAGAAAGCTGAACACTGAAAAATTGATGCTTTTGAACTGTGGTGTTGGAGAAGACTCTTGGGAGTCCCTTGGACTGTAAGGAGATCCAACCAGTCCATCCTCAAGGAGATCAGTCCTGGGTGTTCATTGGAAGGAATGATGTTGAAGCTGAAACTCCAATAGTTTGGGCACCTGATGTGAAGAGCTGACTCGTTGGAAAAGACCCTGATGCTGGGAAAGATTGAGGGCAGGAGGAGAAGGGGATGACAGAGGATAAGATGGTTGGATGGCATCACCGACTCAATGGACATGGGTTTGGGTGGACTCCGGGAGTTGGTGATAGACAGGGAGGCCTGGCCTGCTGCGGTACATGGGGCCGCAAAGAGTCGGACACGACTGAGCAATTGAACTGAACTAAACTGAACTGAATGCCTCTCAGGGAGCTTCCCAGGTGGCGTTAGC